TGGAGAAGAAGAGCGGGGCAGCTAAAAATATTCGGTTCACAATAAGACAAGTCTCAGAAGTGATATGTTTAAGGAGGGGCGTTTGAAAGTAAACGAAGGGACAAATTCATTCAAATAGTTAACGGTCCCTTGCGTTGGAAGCAAAAGCATGCAGAACTTGCGGAGAGTAGCAACATTCTTAAATGTGTGATGCCTCCTTCCCGGCACTGAACTAGATCATCCGTTTGAATGGTTGAGGTTTTCAAGCATGACAGTGCTAGGGTTACGATACTCGGTTTAGTCAAAAACGCCAATTTGAGGTTAACAAGCATGACAGTGCTAGGGTTGCGATACTCGGTTTAGTCAAAAACGCCAATTTTCAGGAGTAGTAAACAAACTTTACTGAAAATTGTGGATGACTTTCATCTTTCTGTTTTGCTCGCTGTCTTACAGGCTTTGTTTCAAGTTCACATGACTTGAGAACGATGCGGTTAACGAGAGTCCTGACTGTGCGCAGTGAAGCATCGATGATGGACACTGATGCCATGCTGTCAATGACGATGATGATGCCAGGATCAAAAGAATGAAAGGTTAAAAAGCCTACAAGAGGTCATGGTGCAATTTGGTAACCTAAGGCGGGAGAACGGGGATAAAACACTGCCGAGTCTTGTGATTCCAAATAACTTGTCATGTCTACGGATCAAGTCAAGTAAGTTACTTCCCAGGTCTGGTTTACGGAATCCGAAATACAAGTATTATTCTTCAAAGTCCTGACTTTCGAGTTTCACGAGATGTGTCACCTCGAAAACTTCCCTCAAAATGGTCATCCTTCGCTTGATCGGACTCAGTCCAGAAATGAAAATAAACAGTTTCCTCGATGCGCATATCAAGGAAAAGTCCCCGCAACAATACTGTGCAAACCTAAACCATGCTAGAGGATTTGACAATAATGAACTAATAATGGACTAAAAAACACTGACAAAAATAACTTTTATGACGTACTATTTTCCACTTTGACTCGTTTTGGCGTATCGCTTCTGGCAAGGAACCGAAACTTTTCGGAAAGAGTTCGATTAATCTGACCATATCTTGCCAACAAGTGTCAGGTATCCAAGTGACTGGCTTGTCCAACTTGGTCTTTTCTACGGCAGTATTGCCTTTGATAAAGAAGTCCATTTCATTTGGTGACAAATTGCCCAAGTCCGCCTCGATCTTGTTCGTCATTTGAAAGCAAAACAGCAGCTTGTGTCTCTCAAAAATTCCTAGTTGAATAGAGAGTAGTTATAGAGTAGTTATAGAGAGTAGTTAAACAAAATATTTTATTCAGGGTTATCTTAACTATCTTAACTATCGAGCGGACAGGAATTCATTGCGTCAATCTGAAAACTCTGCGTAGCTTAGGCACATCAGTTTGAAAGCTATGGAGGGATCTCATGTTCAAAATTAAGTTACGTTTGTCAAGTAGAATGTCTGAGGAAATGCGTTATCCGAGAACATACCGTTTGATAAATTTGTATTAACGAAAAAAGTGCGTTACGGTTGGCAGTCGGCGCTTGAGTAACTTGAAGAAGCTCACACTGAGAGTACGTTCAGCCGTGTCGTATTTTTAACCGACGGTTAGTGCCATTGGTACTTCTCAAGATACCGTGGGGTAGCTCAGCCTAAGACGGGTTCCCGAGTACGGACCTCCTGATAATAAAACCAAGGATTCCTTATAATAAATAAGATACTGCGGTTGCTCAGAGTCGATTTCAAGATGCATAAAGAGTTGTTTCTAGGTGCCATGGGATAGCTTGCAAAAACGGAGAAAAAACAGCAATCTGCCTTCGATTCACGGTTTTGGAAGCATGATTTTTCCGCAATTTGCATTGTGCGAAATCTCGCAACATGCGGCCTGAAAAAAGTGAATACATTATTTATATGACGCACACAAAGCTGATCGTGTTTGAAGACACTACTAAGGTCAATTTACTGATCCTCAGCTCCATTCGATACGGTCGATTCTTACTAGTTCAACCAGTGATATTCTGTAACGGTCGCTCACTAGATCACGCGTCACAAACACTCAAATTACGTGACATTTCTCGTCCCACTTGTAACCTCGGGCGACAGCATGTGCACTACAATTTCCCATTCATTTTTGTTTACGCGGCTACCACCTGCTCCAGGCTCACGAACTTTAACCACATCAGGTCAGGTTGTGTTCATGTTCGTGCAATAATAAAACACGAGTGGATATCCCTCTATTAACAACGCACACAGTAAATGGGTATGTAATCCGGCCCAAAAACTCGCGCACGCAGGACAGGAAGTCCACTGCGTTCCACATGTCCCCACGGCCGACTACGGAACATGTGTCAGCAATACTCAGAGAAGACACGTCCCGGGTCCGGAAGTTCACTCAGGAATTCTCAACAGTTGTACTCAAACGATAAGTCTCTTTTCGACTTATTCCCTTCTTGTGTCGCATTTTTTTCAAGTGCACATAACTTTCGTAATCATCATCATTCTGGTAAAACAGACGTTCGTTATTGCTTGTCCCCTTCTACATTACAGCCAGATCACTAACAATTCTGAAGGCACAACTTCCGCCTTTTTTAAATCAAGATTGGCACTCACTGGTGAATTGTTCACTTGATATGGCAATGTGACTGTAAACTGAGTCCCACCAAAAGATTATAAGTGGACTGTTGTTATTTAAACTACATATGCCCACAGAGATGAGAGCATCCAGAAATTCCACTTTTCTGAACCATCAATGAAAGCTTTTTCCAGTCAATATCTTTCGGCATAACATTGACAAACTCTATTAGTCGCTTCGAAGCGGGGATTGCAGAGATCCATTAGTAATTAGGAACAAGTTCTTCCCTTTACACCGGTGCGCCAGGCTTGCCAAATAAGTCCTCATCAATTCTTCACGTTTGAAATAAAATAAGAGAGTTTCTGTTGTTTACTTGAACGCTTAGAATTGGGTCAGCAGTTCATGTCTCCTGGAGTCACGAATGGAAGAAAGTGATATGCGATAGTCATCAAAATCTTGGTGGTCCACATGGCTTAATTTTGAGGTGGGCAGTTAGGAATTTTTACGGATGTCTTTGGACTCCGTTTCCGTGAGAGCTAAGCATCACGTGAGTAAACGTGACAAAAAATCGCGGTCCATTCCCAAATCAGGACATTAAGCAACCGATTGTTAGCATTTCCTGTAAATAAAGCGTAAAAATTATGTTCCTCGCGGTTATGCCCCAATCGTACTGTCTAACGAGAAAATCACTATTCTTGCCTGATAATTGGACTGCCGTAAAGGCAGCTAAGGGCGTAAAGTTACATAAACCTAAGTGGAACCTTTGTGAAAATCACAATGTACAGACGTTTGACAACCTATAGCGAGTAATCGTGGATTTGGTGGATTTTAAGGGAAAGCGTGCGAATGCGATCTCTACCAGAGATAAAAGACTGATAAAAGACTTCTTAATCATGAAATCCGTTCATTTCGCATTTGGTGCGTATTGAACTTATCAACATCTTGTATCACTTCGGTATATAGTATAATTCTGCAAGGGTCCTGTGAATATCGAGTAAAATCCACCAGTCATTCAATTAACGGATGTATTTTCGAAGGTTATATTTTAAAAGTTGAGCGCTAAAGTTGAACTAAGGCATATGAAATTATGAAACGCGGATAAACCTAATACTGATACATACACTAAGCTTTTGAGGCACGTAGTGTCCGGAAGAGCTCCAAGAGTTTGGGCGCCGCCATTTGGTTTCCAGTTGTTTACAAACATTCACGTTCATCCACTGGAATGTAAGTTTTGGTTTCTAACACAACCTGACTTGTACCAAGCTACTGCTCGAACAACACTCCAAATTTCCATAACCTCCAACGGTGTGTAGTACCACTGGGCATTTTGGGCGTAAGCAGCATTCGATCGGCTCAGCTCCAGTTGGTAGACCTTTATGCACCAGTAGTGAGACAATTGCACCCACCTAGTGCTTTGAGTAGTCAGGTCACCTCCAACAACGTTGTCTTTTTGTTTCCAATCAAGTGTCATCTAGATATGCTTGAATACGTGCATCGTATCAGCGAAGCACTTTCCTTTTCCACTTTATTCACACAGAACAGGCGCCAGTCATGCAATGCCTTAAGTGGTATATATCCTCTTATGAAAAGACAGTATAAGCTCAATCTGTTAAAATACTTTCTCGATAGTTAAAATTATCATACGGCTTGGAACTACCATCGGGGTACCTTATTCTCAGAAAGGACATGCCTCATATGAAAATGCTTGACATATGCCCATATGTTAACAAGGTAGTGATTTGCTTCCCAAGAATGCTTGTCGAAACGCTTGACAAAATTCGACGAGGTCACTGAAGTTGTTCCACCGAAAATTGACGCATCTCTGGCTAGAATACATTAGTTTCAGTAAGCATTTTCATTTAGTAATTCATGGGTACGGTGCAGCTCAGTGGATCGCTCTTGTATCCTTATTCAATTCCAATTCCAAAAATACTATGCACCGAAGAACCTTGGATTCCTCCCATTGATTGCTCGTAGTACGTGTCTTCAGGTGTAAATTAGCCAAGTGCCCCCTAAATCTAACCTCCTCAGCTGCACCAGACATTGGAGAACCACAGAAAGCGTACTCATTGAGTGTCGTGTTCCTGTTAGGTTTTTAGAATCCGGAATGGTTCAGGATTGACAATAGCCCGCACACAATTGCCTGATTTGTTCAGTGCCTGAACGCACAAATTAAACAAAATAAAAATCGGCGTGGAAGAGTGCCGTAATTATGGCAAGACGGCAGGGAGAAGGGATATTGCACGAAAGTGTAACTGCGTCGACGTCAGTTTTCCATCGACTGATGTAGCATCTGATGTCACACGAGTAGTACCCGGAGCTTGATGAAACATGTTATTCAGATTTCAATCGTGCCTCTATACAGTGGAAATATCGAATCTTCTTGATCAGTTTAATGAAATGGATACAAATAATGAGTTCTTTCGTTTCATTAACTTACATCAGCCGTCAGTGAAAACTTGAATATGTTCAAGTGAACAGCACAGTCTTGTGACACGATATTGCCAAGGTCGCCGTCATGACGACTTGGTTTAGCATTTCCAACCACATAACGCTGATTAATGAAGCCTAATCAGTACTGATTCAGTGATTAAAGACTTGATGGTTCAGTGTAACATGATGGCCAGCCGAATGACCGCCCCAAAAGATGCGCTTGACAATCAACCAAGATGCCTTACAGAGACCTGACTGAATCTCGGCGCTGAATGCGATTCAACACTTATTTCGATCAGTGTCCAACAGTTCTCTGGGAAAATTCCCATATTCATCCCTACTTGGTTCGCTTATTGTTTCAAGTGAACTGGTAGATGACACCAGGTGGAAAAAGGGAGCTATTTGGGCAAGGTTGCTTGTAGTGTCAGCCTTTGAGCAAAGTGGATCAGCTTCGATTATTTTAAACATGGCAAATATTTCCTCGAGTAAATCACAGCAAACTGGTTAACTAACTGACAAAACCGAACATATCTGAGCTGAGTTTCGCCCATCAGCAGATCAGATAGTTGTTGGCTCAATTGCCAAGCTTTTCAGTTCGGTCGCAAGTGGTTCGTCGTCAAACGTGGGGTTATAGGTTGGATGGGTACAACTTTCTTACGTGTTTACGACTATATAGGCTCTAAAATGGTATTCGATACCTCTGGATATGACCAGCTGATTGAGCGACAGGTTTACCGTAATCTTGTTTGCGATTTCATCAACGATTTGATGCTTTGTGGTCCGTATTTACTTTATTCGATTGGTTCGCTGAACAGCTGCCCTCTGCCAGATTTGATCGGAAGCGGGCAAGGAAGGAGCACACATCCGTATGCGTTTTAATGATACCCTCATAACTGGCGGCGTAACGTTTTCACACAAACTGCCCAGCTCTGTGAACAGATCAACAAACACTTTATCTACAAAACCAAAACAACCCAGCTGCCAATATTCCGACATATTGGGTTTTACTCAGCCATGAACATCGAAGGGCACTAAATTACCTAGTTCTGCCTGATCTCGATGGCTAAGTAACTCTATCGTAAGTTTTATCCCGTAATTTGCTGCGCTATTTCCAGCACCCTTATTCTTACGGTAGTGGGCAGAATGCCAGTTAACTTCAGCTCCATGCCATCCGGATACCAGCGTGGAATAGACAGCAGTAACTTCCAACTTGTTTCTTGTTTATGAGCTCTGTCACTCCACACGGGCCGAGGTTGCTGAGTGACAGTGCCAACACCAGTACTAACAGTATCAGTGAACCTTCAGTGGAATACCAAGAAGACCAAGAATACCTCACTTTCTTGTGTTTACCGTGAAGGCGGCAAGAAACTTACACCGTAGGTTCGTACGAATCCCGAAACATCTTGGTGCCCATCGGTGCCAATCCGAAGTTGCAAATTTATGAAATCAGTTGATTTTCGCGAGTTATGTCCGTGTGCAACAACTGAACTGTACTGGCTAGTGTTTGGGACCCGTGCGGATTCAATAAGACCAATCATTACTAGGTCGAAGGAACTTCCTGGACACATCTCGTAATACAGAATCCACTGCCCGACTTGGCGTGGTGGAATCAGACTCGTTCATATTTCGGTTAGGTTGTTGCTTGTAGGCCCTTAGTAGCAGTAATCTTAAATTTGTCGCCACTTATACTTCCCAATGAGTTGAGTTCAGATGCGAGTATGTGGATAGTAGACAAAACCATGGTCATTCAATTTCCTAGTAAGTTTCGTGAACACTGACAAACGATAATAGCACAGAGCACTACTCGGCCGACCGCAACAAAATCTTACCTGTGCAGGCGAATGTGTAGACATCTTGTGTCAGTCTATTGATGATGTTATTCAACCGCTGCCTCAGTAGCATATCAGGCATGCTGCGCTTTAGTGAGTTTTTAAAGACGACCAAGTAAGCTCCAAGCGAATATTGGTACATTGCATTCACAGTAGACATGTCTGATAAGACAAAGAATAAAAGAGCTCCACGCCGGGCTGCTGGTCTGTAGGCATCACGAAGTTTATCGATATCCACTGCCGTTTCAGCCCCCAAGGCCAGTTTTTCTGCAACTTCAGTTGCCTTGGACTTCGTCTCTTCCAGCGTATTGATAAGCTCCACGTTATCAAGCATGTTTCCTGTGCTCGTGGCTAACTCCCTGAGAAGGCTGTCTTCTAGATCTTTTAAAAGTTTCTTGTTCCGACTGTACGAACATAGAAAACGAATAGCGATTATACTCGGATTTATCCACTGAAACATCGCTACATAAACTTGTTTCTAACCTGTTGGATACTAATATTAAAGGTATTCCGCTTACAGAGCGACAGCAGAGAGTAATTTCTCGATTCTCTACCCAGCTCCTCCACCCAGTTCAAATTATAGCCACCCTATCTTAAAGCGATAATCACCAAACTGGCCCTAGGTTTGTCTGCGAATAGTCTGGGTTTTATTTCAATTAACTGGTAGCCTACACACCTTATTTGCCCATAGCATTGGTTCACAGCCGGATGTGATCCTGTCAGGCAACGAATCGAAGCTCGACGCTAACCACTGAAATGCTTATTTTCGGCCAGGCTTATCTACTTTTGAGGCATTCTGCATTCGCTTTCACTGAAAATTTTGTCTCCCGTTTTTGCTGGTGACAACAAATGTGCGATCACGACGTGTGACTTGGTAAAGTGTAAGGCGCCTCAAATTGCTTGTATAGGATTGTTGCGTTTTGTCTTTTTATTTGTTGAACAGGTGCGGGACTTGGACTGGTCCTTAGGCGCCAATATGCCATTGGTTGATTATGTCCGTCTTAGAACGACTGTAAATGTTTCCCGTTTCTATGACCTCGTCATCACCCTACACAGAATGAACTCACCTACACCAAAGTAAACAGCCAGCCGGTAGGGAAGGAAGATCTGAAGGACCAACAACAGCGAATAAAATTGTTTTGTAGTCTATGAGATAACTACGAGACAGGATGAATTCTGGTTTGACATTTGTCCCGAACTGTACCATCCTCATCAAAATGATTCATGCGAATCACAAATGGTCTAGAGATCACTTTCACTATTTGCGAAGTTTTAAGGCAGTGAACATTGCGCCCATCTTGAACAATCTTTCGAACCGTAGATTAGTTTGAGCATCAGTATAATTTTACAATAAATTTCATTGATTTTTTGATAAACTTTTTCGAGCTTCAAACGAAAACAATTGCATTCTCCTTATTTGCTTGTATGCAAACCCTCTGAATTAAATCCGTAAAACACTGGTGAAGCAGTATTCCTAACAGCGGGAATCATGTCACTGGAACTAACAGGAGGCTTGAATAGTGAGTAACGAAGCGTGTACTAGAAAAGCTCAGTGGTAGGTCATCTGAATCTAATCCAGCGCTGATCGAACCAAGGGCCAAATCGCAGACACAGGTCACAGAGTTGAGCCCAACTCACGATTTGGGAAATTGGCACGAAGCGGACGGCCACAGAGGCCGAATTTCCTTGATGCGATACTAATTAACCGTTTTAGGCGTGTTCTCTGCATTCAGAAATACCTAAGGGCATTCTTAGACTTCGTTGATTTTATTGTAAACTGCATTGTATATATGTACATCTCAAACCATTTTACACGCTTTGCTGTAGAAGAGTGAGAAATGAATATGAATTCATCCTACAACCTTGCTATTCATACTGCCTTGTTTAAATTGATCGGAGGATAACTGTGCCATAAATTACTCTGGGCCGCCAAAACATTGGGTGCCTTGCTTTGACGTTTGCTGGATAACGTTTGTGCCTACTAGTTTCCTCTCTGTAACAGAAGATGCCTCATCTGGTTGACGCCTATCATCTCAGTCACTGACCTTGTCTCTTGAATTAGTGTTTCTCGCTGTTCCTCCAGTTCGCATCTTTCAGACTGAACAATCACACTAAGGAGTTGGTCTTCAAGTCCTTTCAATGTAACCATGTAGTTAATCACCATCGCTTTTCCAAAGACTTCTGGACCATATCGAGGATTGGCCAGCTTCGTATTCAGATAAAGCCGGAAATTTGGGTCGTATTCTACTTCCTTATCGCCAAGAATGACATACTGTCGGTTCTGTGAAGAAGAAATAAGCAGATTATTCCAGAGTACTTGGACACATTTGAAGGCGCTTCAGTCACTGTATAAGCGAAAATATCAAATTTGAATTGACGCAAATGATAAAGGCTAATAATGCTGTTAGTATGATACGACAGTCTACTATGGAAAACAGATTTTGTGATCTCATGGTAACTTCGTGGATGTGGTTGGATGACTGGGATGTTCAATATCCTGTCCGGTATTCTGATCGCGCTTCCATATGCTTGGGCAATACAGTGAACCGAGGATCTTCGTGCCTCTTTCGGTTCTTGCAACAGTAATATACCCAAATTATGTTTTAGATAAACTGATAGGACTTGAGTAGGAACAAAGAAAGCTAGATCTTCAATCAGAATAAATTTAATCTAAAGGAAACCTAACAAGAAAAGACAGGATGGAATAAAACTACTGAAATTTCAACGAATTTTCTCTTATATTGCACCCATCGCTGTGTGATTATAAGTGGAAATAAAAATAACCTGTGGTAAAAAAGCGAACTATCTCCCGTTCTCCCCTTTATTAAAAGTAAGACGCCGAGATTGTTTAAAATTGACGCATATACCTAAGATGTCAAACGTTAATTTTGGTCAAGTCGGGCGAAAAGGATCCACTGAAATACGGAATCTATTCTTGATATCAATCACCTAACTTTAATTGGATCCTTAGTGCATTGGGCTCATCCTGGCTTAGGACAAAAGCCAATGCTAACAGGCTTTCAAAAGCAAGCTCTCTTCATACCGAAAAATGTAGTGGTGAGTAAAAAACAGAAGTGGTAGTTCATTTTGTCACCAGTTATTTCAAAACTACCTCTTTTTAGCATAATTTACACAACCAAACATCCTAATTTAGCAGCAGGTGGGACACTAAGATTGAAAATCAGTACAGAGGCATGTGTCCTTATATGAAGCTCCTTCTCCTCTTCTCTCATTAGCAATAAAGGATATTTCACGTGCTCGCTACGTGCAGTACAAGTTCTACAGTGGTTGAAAACAACCCAAGGATGAACACAAATACTGACGAACGCACGTTTGATGGAATTTTTGTGAAACGTCATCATCACTAAGTAATATGGAAAGAAGGTGGTGTATGCTAAACATATAGTATATGATATATAGAAGTATGTTAGATTCTCAAAGATGACAATCACTGTTAACTACCATGTTATCAATCGTTGTGCCACCACTTTTGCTGTGATGGGTTCGGTGTTGAACAAATATTCTACATGCCTACTTTGGGTATTCTGGATAATGCGCTTGCATACTGGAGTACATGCGGGTAAAACTCACTCGTGATAGTCAAATAACTTTAAGTTTTTCATCACATGGGGTACGAAAACAAGACAGTCCGGTTTGGCTCATGAGGTTTACAGTAACGGTACATGAATAAATAGCGAAACTAAAAATCATTACAGTAAGCATATCAACTCTCAAACTAGAGAAATATTTGGCGGAAGCTTGGGATATATTTTGCAGTATCTTGTATGTCTGAAAATGTGCAACATCAAATGTGCAATCTCACTGGAGAGCATCACCTCACTGAATAAAAATGGTCTGATGGAATAACCCCGGAGGCTAACCAACGAAGGCGTACCATGGTGTCGATAGGATCCACGAAAGTGCACATGCAAAAAAGAGTTGTCCAGGGTTTTCGAAAAAGTTTGGTGACAATAGGTAGATTTATTGCTGGGCAACGTTTCGCTTTTGACACAAAAGCTTCGTCAAGCCAAGGGACCAGGTTCCGAGGTTGGTAGCCACCAAATGAACTGGCCAGATTCTCAGCTAATATACTAAAACCGCTCATTTGGAAATCAAGCATCTTCATTGAGAATTCGTACGATTTTACCATCAAGGGCTTCCTTTGGAGATGAACAAAGTTCTCGTGAGTTTTGACATAATCTCAGTGTACACAAACATCCCTAGGACGGATGCTCTGGAGGTAAGTAAGAAGTTGTTACTGGCAGACACGACACTCGGGGAACGGACACAGCTCTCGGTGGATGAAATAGTTGAAGGAGTATGCGTTTGTTTGAATCTTGATCAGTTTGTTTTTGACACAATTGTTTACTCACAAGAACAAGGTCTTGCAATGGGATCTCCAATAATCCCAGTTTTAGCTAATATTTATATGGAGGACTTCAAACAAACAGCCTTGGCCGGATATCATTTTCCACCGAAAGTTTTTGACGTTACGTTGACGACACCTTTGTTGTAATCAAACGAGATAAAGTGAGCAGCTTCCACGACTATCTCAATAGTTTAAACCCACACATTAAGTTTAGCATCGAAATATAGTCCAGCTCGGTCACATTACCCTTTCTGGACTGTATAACACATAAGACGGCTGGGAAATTGAAAATGACTATCTACCAGAAACCAACAGACACAGGAACCGCCTTAAGCTACTCATCAGCACACCCAGAGTCTGTCTACGCCAGTATTATCTCACCGATGTTTCGTCGAGTCAGAGCGCTATGCACAGAAGAGATCGACCGGAGAGCAGATCAAATCGAGATTGCCAACAGACTGCAAGAAATAGGATACACATTGGGTTTGATTAGGCGTCATGGAACTGCATAAAAGGAGGATGAACGAACCACCACGGAATGCTGAAGAATACGAAACACTGGTCGAAGATTCAGCAGCGGCGGTACATGCCTTTGGCACGGGACATAGAATAGATCTGGAGAATGTGTAAGTTTTAAGACGGGAACTGCGATTCACACCACAGCGGCTGATAGCTGAGGTGGTGTGAATTACCAAGCACCACAGCTTGAATAGAATCGAGGGTGTGGAACTGGCGTGTAGTCTTAAATAAGCCGATTTGGCAAGCGACCGTGTGGTCGTCAATCCACCGAGAATCACTAGCACAATCTGGGGGGTGGAGGTGGAAATCCCAACCCGACCAAAGGTCACAGCATCCCTCATACAGAACTACCTTAGCACTAGCTCATCCACGTCGACGGCCAGAAAGTTCAAACGACATTCAAGAGGAACCATCAAATGGACCGAACCAGAAGAACTAGACCCTAGGCTGGACCCAAACACATGTAAGTTTCCCCATCGACCCAACACTTGTTCACCCACCCACCCACCCCACACACACAACACACAAAAATCCCTCGACCGACACCCAATAAAGATTTAGCTTGACTGAGATGACTGGTTCTCCTCCCGCCTTAAATCTCAGCCAACCTCTGGGCCTGACGGAGTTTTTGTGTCGAAAGCGAAACGTTGCCCAGCAATAAATCTATCGACTGTCACCAAGCGTTTTTGGAAAAGATGACTACTCGGTCGGTTCCAAGTATTTTTCACCAGACTGAATTGTCCAGGGTCATTGAGGGTATACTAGATCAGCACTTGTCAAGCAGTCCGTTAGGCCATGCATAGTGATTCAACAGATGGTGCATCAATTAGGCCAAAACAACCGAGGTCTGATACGTGCAGAAAGTAATCATGCATACACATCCTTGTCTGTTTGCAGTGAATGGCTCTCTACGTATATTTTTGGTCAGAATGTAGTTGGCTTAGATCACCACAAGCAGCTAATAAGCTGAGCGAGGGAAAAACAACCGATTTGCCGAAATGGTATCAGGGAATGCTGTACTAACTTCAAAAACACTTTATATCAAACTGTGAAACGTTTATTTCAACCTATTATTCAAAACGTACCTCCAACAGCTCGACCATGATTTCTAGATAGTTCTCATGGTTGACCAAACTCTACCCGATGGTAAGTTGGTTAATATTCTGGAGCTGACCAAAAGGGTTCCTATTATGAAGGAACTCATGCAATTGATTGGGCAAGGCCAATCTGCTGCCAAAAGCCATTAACGACTAAGGTTAAATCGATTGGTTATTCCGGATTTTATTGAGAAATGAACCGTTTACCGTATAATCTGGTATCATTCGCGGTATCCAAAGAGCTAGGGAGCTGCAGCGTCAGCGAGGGTGAAAACTATGTAGGAAATGGTAGCCATACGGAATATATGATCCGGAACGAGCCGAAGAACCTACGCTTCTTGGGGAATTACCGAAGTGGTCCTGTCAAATAACTGTCATAAACCTCTTCCTCCAAAGTCAAGAAGAAAACGCGGTGATAGCCGAGTACTACAGCAATAATTTCTAAGATTGGATGAGTTGGATAAGTGCTCAGTTTGTGGCATAACACCGCTCAAAACCTTGGGGCTCATCAGTTAGGCGTAGTCCCCGAATATCTAGTCAGCCAGTCACATTTTCCACTTCATGCTGTCATGCTGTCGATGATGATGATGATGATGGTGATTTTCCGCTTCAGCACTAAACTGTACGTAAGCAGAGTTAGACACTCGTTTGCAGATTAACTTGGTGTTTTTAAGAAACTCAACAAAACCATAGTTTACCAGTTTTCGGAATTTCACCTATTGTACTAACAAACGTGGAAGTGCAGTCAGTAGTGAAGATGGCGAAGGCAATCACGAGAGATATGCTAGAGGACATCCATCTAGTGCTGTATAAAATGCTGAGTGTAATAACTGGATATAATCTAGCATAAAAGCACTTCAACGAAACAGCGGAACAAAGAAGAACCTGTCTATCAGGAGGGGGATATTTACCTAGCCTTTGCAGTCAAGCCAAAGTAAGTCTGTGGTGAACATTTTGTAGCATACTATGTGTTAAACTGGATAGAGAACAAATGCTCATCCATTTTTGCGAGTAGAATTCACAGAAGCGGTCCTTTGGTTTCCAAAATAGCATTTGGTTGAGTGGATGGACTGAGTATGACCGACCACCATCCACGTCACCACCAATCGTTTTCTTCCCGTAACCTGCACTATCTGGAGTGTATCTAGCTCTTGGCTTGGCGTGTTAGTTAAGTTCAGTCTTATATTCAATTGCCTAATGCTTCCCAGACAAGCATTCGAACGGATTTCAGGTCTTTAAGTATGAGCTGTTTGCAGTGCGGTAACTTTTTGACAGCTGGCGAACTGTGAATTTCTCGCGCTGTCTGGAATGCATGAGTTGGGGGAGAGTACGTCCATCATAGCACCAGTTATCAGCCTGGGCATATTCGGCACGTTGTCTATCTTCGCTAACGTACTAGTGGGCTATTCAATCATTTAGGTTTGTCTAATCTCTAAGTTACATACTGAGTGGTATAGACATCCATTTTTAGTGTTCCTCAGACGTTTATGCATGGCAAAGGTTATTATCTTAGTAATACTCGACTAGGCAGCTCAGTGAACAGTCAATTCTAAAAAGCACTCAGTGTAGTATTTCTTAACTCTTGACACAAAAACGCTCACAGTAAACCATGGGACTGGACATCAAGAAGAACTGCTTATCGGGATACTACCGTACCTCGTTCATAAACACAGCGATAGCATATAATAAAAAATAAAAGCATAACAGATTACTTTTCACTGACAACCCACGACTGGCTCTGTTGTTATTAGAGATCATTTGGTAGGTGCACTCCTAGAGTTTCAACCAAACTGTTGCTCTACTAGAACACCAGATTGTACGCTAATGACGAAGTGCACTCATCTGCAAATTAATTTCGTGTTAACAGGAACACAACTGAATCTCTGGTTTATGACATTTGACACGAAATAGAAATTCAGTTTGGATTCGGTTGATTCTTCTATTTACACCAGTTTGATTTGCAAATAAGTGTATTTCATCAGTTGAGTTATCCTAGAGCATAATGATGATGATGATGATGATGAAAAGTCTGAAGCTGCATTTTTCAGATAAGTCCAATGAAGTTAAATTTGGCTGTTGGCCGCCGGGAAGTTTTAAGTAGTGTTGTGAGTAGTTTCCTTCATGAAAATATGCTGCAATATCTTGAATATTGCACCAACTGAAACATAAACGAGAATTGAAACTGAGATTCAGGCGAATTCTCCGTGAGAACCACATTGGAATGCAAACTGGTGTATTTCGCATAAAAGACTAACATTGAGAACTACCCTTGAGAACCTAATGATCAGCAAACAATCCTGAACTCCAATAAGACTATATGGATTGTACACCACAAACGACAACGAAGATATCTCAATCCGTATAATCGGACTACAAAGCCTAATGTACGCAAAACGTATCCTTGCATGAAAACGGCATTTATATCTTTCCGTTAGTTTCCAAAATTGCACCTTTCCGAATATTCTTTGCAGTCAGTTTGCTATCAGTTTATTTGATAAACGACAGCTCTTTCCAGGCATTTGTGTTAAACAAAAATCCTCTGTTTGTTTCTTGATTCGGAGTAATCATCATCTGCAGTATAAGTTAAACAGCTAAGCGGTGAGGGCGAGCTTGTGTTATTTGATTTTTCTCCTGCTCTGTTTCTGCCACAAGAACCAGACGACTCACCAAGGAAAATAATAATGTCCCAGTAAAACCACTCACTTTATCGCCTTTGATGTTCTTCTCTAATACATTATTGATTACTGGATCGATATACTCGTCCACATTTTTGAATAAAAACGGAATTCCATAGCGCACAGACAATTCAAGCTGTTTCAAGAAATCCGGGTCGTTGAATGTGGCGACTTTCAAGTTATTTGGCTGTTCTTTGTTCAAAATCCAATGCAAAGCTTGTTCTTGTGGATCAATGCATAATGGGAATCTTGAACTGCCGACTGTCAATATTCCGTTTTGGACACTCAGTTCGTCTGGAGGTAACCCTTCGGAATTCCACTTGGACACTTCTACATCATTGGTCAGAACATCCTCTAGCCTGAAAGGTTGACTAAGAGGAATCGCTCGCTCGAGGAGGGCTGACTGCCAATCCCTGTAGATCATACGCGTCCGAAATTCCCAAGAGAACGCACCTGTATAGCTCAGGAACGCTGCACTAAGTAAACAATCACCCAATAACCTGGTTCGTTTCTCTAGAAGTTCCTTCCGGTCTTGGTCCCAACGTATTTGTTCTGACCCTAGTCCGCTCATTAGCTTGTCCGCTGCACGAAGTCGACGTTCCATCAGATCAGTTTCAGCCTGAATCTGTTGCCGTTCTGTCATAGCGTCCTCATAACGACGGTTCAGAATCTTCAGTTCCTCCTCCAGGCTTTGTATTTCTGTGTCCAGTTTCTCCAAATCTCGTTTGGTCTGAGAAAGAAAAATACATGTACAGAAAAAAGTATTTTAATCAGGCTCCGAGATTAGTTGAGCTCGATGTGAAAGAGGTTGTCTGCTTGGTTTAGCAGTAAAACCTAACACATACTTAGAGATCTTTGTATATTTTTCCAAAACATATACCACGAAAAGTGTTCGTTGACTGAAGAAGAGTGCCCTTCAACCACAGGTCGCAGAAATGAGCACCAAACCAGACACCTTCTGATCCCTACACCACACTGCATGTATTGTATACTGGTCAGCCAAACATCCTTCCTTGAATATTATAGCTGCGTGAAGCGTGTACCTATTACTCATGCTTTTGACTGATGCAACTATGTTAGCAGTGGTTAGTTGGTTGACAAGATCCGTTCTAAACAATTTCGTTTGGCTGCATTTACCACTAAGGTCAGACAGTAGGAACATACGATCACTCCAACATCATAGTATGTTAGACCGAACACACGGGATCACACGCTACGGGATGAATTAACACAAGTGCCATCTGGTAATTCTAGGCACGTCAAACGAAAAGTACTTTTGAAGTTGCGCCACCCTTGAAGACAGACTTTAGAAGATAGAGGGATATCGTAGTTACTGATCAGTTTCAGTTGGCTCACTTGGAGAAAGGATACTAACCTGAAACATCAAGTAACAATACACAGGATGTCGTCACATTTGATGAAGTGATTCGCTTTGAAAACCCAGGTCACATTCCGCGACATTTGGGATATCATTAGACCAGTCTAGTAATGCATGTAAAACTGAAAACGAAAGACGTATTAGGGTTGTGGTTCTCAAACTCTGTAGACTGTGTACCTTTTTCAGTACATGGACTAGAAAGTTCGAATAGTGAAAACGCTGATTACAATATTTTTATTGAATAATCATTAAATAGCATGATGTGTATTCAGCAGAAAAAAACGACTCAGAATAGATACGGAATCTGTGGATCATAAACCAGATACCTAGTTCACCTTTGAAAACCTAAAGTTACTTTGAATGTGATATCTACCCAGAGGTTGTATAAAATTCCAAAGTACCTGCATAAACGTCTTCTCCAATCTTGACACCTTTTCACGCTTTGGCTTTATTTCACGGGCAACTTCAGAATAACCTAGGACAGCAACGACAAACTTCAGCAACCCTGTTCCCGCCTTGCTCACGCTCCTCATTTCTTCCACCGTAATTTTCGTTCGATCAAGGTAATCTGGAAAAGAGTGAAACTGTTTTTTGCTGAAGTTTTTACAGAAAAAATGTGGGATCTTTTTTAAAAACTCACCCAATTCTGGATCAACATCCAGTTTTGTCACCTAATGAGATACTAGGATTACAAACAGGCGACTTCTGGTTTATCTCGCTGACCTGTCAAACCCAAATTCGTCTGATGTGGGGAGAGGAATGACAAAAGATCAGAGATCTGTGATGACTAACATTTCGCAAGAATTAATTCCATCGAAAACCAAGTGAAACAGGGCTTTTGATGGTTTGGCAAACTGACGCTTTTAACTGCCGTATCTGTTCAATAAAAAGCACCTTATACAAAGATTACCATCATTTCGATTATGACTACGACTGCTAGTCAGCGGATTGACTCTTATCACTCTATGCCTTTTTTACCCTTAGGGTTTCTGCTGTTTCGAATCAGAAGTAAAAATAGCACGAAATAACTCTATAAAAATCCTACCCAATCCAGAGTAACCCGATGGTGACCGAACTTCGATACATAAAATGCATTGTCAGAACATCTTATTGAGACATGAGACATCCTTAGAGTTCAGACAAAATACCTTTGAATTCCTGTCGGGTCATCTTAACAAGTGGGTCAAGATATCTTCCAAAAATACCGGCATGACTGAAAAGGAAAAGTCACAGAACGGTTCTCCTGTACTGGAGATCTGAAAATAGACTGCAGTTAAATTGTGACCACAGTAAACATTGCGGCGATAGGTCAGTTGTGTAGGCTTCTTGAAAAGGTGACTTCTCAACCACTTTTCATCTAAGGATACCACAATATCAATTGACAGGCGAGCATGTTTTTTAACACGGTCCTCACCCCATAGAAGTGCCATTACATTCAAGAAATGGCTGCGTGCTAGAACGAGCATGAACGAACTCAAGAATGCTAGGTTAAGGGTAAAAGCCTTTCTAATGAACTAACATGGAATTGTGGCTAATGCTCAGTCATCATCTATCAAGGTTTATCGTTTTAAGCAACAATTTCCGGTAACAACGCGATCATCAAAAGCTGCCGCCGATGAAATCTTCGGGTGCAACTGATGTACCTGATCGTCCTAGATAGGAACTTTCTGGCCCACAGGAGTTTGCATTAAGGCGCCGTCCCATAATAAGCATCACTGGCGTTGTTGTCATGTTTGAATGTTCCAACAGCAACGAAATATTTACTGGAGTAAATGGTCACTGTGGAATGCAGTTCAGAACGGGTGAGAATGTTAGTGTTGTTGTTGAGGTGGACGCAGATGTTCGGGGCGTTAATGGCAATGGTACATAATAACCAGCCACTTCATCATGCATTTAGCCTTTGATTTAAGCATTAGATTTTCACTATAGTGCCTTCGTACGTGACCATCCAGGTGAAGTCGAGCTTAAGCTTGCCCTTGGAATTGCAGTTTGTGAAAAGTAGAAGCGACATTCTTGTTCTAGTTGATTCGCATTCGAAAATTCGGCAGAGGTCTAAGTTCTCAGCAAGTAGCTGGTCAAGGTGGCAATGGGTACGACAGAGTGAAAATAGCACGAATCACACCATCACCATCATCATCATCATCATCAGCAGCAGCATCATCAACATCATTATCATCAGCTGTAAATCCGCGTGCTTGCAATACGGGGGTTACAGTGGTTTCTTTCGCCATGATTTGGCGAGGTGAGGTACGAATTGGAGGCGGGATACGATAAAAATGGTGCCTCAATCACAGGCGTCAGTGGACTTTTCAGACGGTAGATCATGAGTTAGAGCTATGCATCGAAGGCAACAGCTTGGATGCATGCACGCCATCAAGAAGTTGACTGATGTGTATGTGTGTGTCTGATGTGTACCGTCTCAGGGTCCCCATCCAGATAGACGGTAATGACCCACACAGTAGAGTTTCTCGGTAATTGCATTAACAATTGGCTGCCAAGCATTGTTCGATTAACTATGGCTCGTCTCCACCCTTCGCGTGATTGTAAGTAAAGGGCTTTTCGAGGAAGACGGTCGACTGTCATGCGGAGAACGTGACCAAGCCAGCATCCTATGAAGTGTGACCAGGTCATTTATTTCAGTTTAGTTATCTCTTCCGGAAACTCTTGATGTACTTCAGATTCAGTGTTCCCACCAGACTTGGGTAATGCCCTCAAGATATTGATGGTGGTATTTCAACATCTCCAGCGCGCATTGGCCAAGTTTCTGATCCGCAACTCGAACCTTGATAGATCAGTTGATGTCAAGTCTACACCACAGGTATTGAGGGTTCACGAGAACTGCTTTGGCCTTCCCAATCTGGGTGGAAATATCGTCTTTGGCTAGATCACCGGAATCGATATGGCTACCCAGTCAGACAAATTTGTCTACCACTTCATCGACCTGACGATAGGCTTCGAGCCTACTATGTTTTGCAGCAGCAAGGTTTGAGGTGCATGTCAATTGTGAGGCAGAATTATTTGTATCATTTAACGTCAAATTCAAAAGAAGCGATTTTGCCTACGTGCTCGATATCTGTATGCGGATGCTCTGGGAGCATTTCGACCCCACAGACATTGGAGCCTGATATTGAGTGTCCTATTATCTTATCAGTGAAGAAACTGAAGAGGAAGGGTGAAGAGGACAGCTTTTCCTCATAGCCTTTTATGTAGTGAACTTTAATGAGTACTGCCTGTAAACCTTTACGCGTCCTTAGGAGTTGGCACACAGCAACTAAAGAAAGACCATGAGTTTATGGCGATACCTTTGCTCCATAGACACTGACGTAGTATCTGACGGTCCATAGAGCAGATTTTAAGTCAAGGAAGACACTCAGTGTTGGATGCTGGAAGCAGTGGTGCTGTTTCAAAATCTGTCGAAGGGTAAAAATGTGATATAAGCATCCCCTTGCAAGGTGGAAACCGGGTTGTTTCTCACGGATAAGCCTTTAGCTGTGTTCAGTCAGCCTTCGAAGAACAAGACAAGAGAATATTTTGATGGCATAGCTACCAGGCTATTGCACAACTTGCGCGTATCTTTTTTGAAGATAGGAATAATTGTTGACTTGCCTCATTCTGCAGGTGTTTTTCTTCAGTTCATATCGCACCAGTTGGCTTTGTCAGATTGGTCACCAGGGGTTCACCACCTTTTTTGTAAATGGCTTGATATGGAACGTCCGGCCCTGGTTCCTCGTCAAGTTTCAATACGGGTATTTTGTATTTTCTTTCTCCTGACAGGCCATCGAGTTTTACATTTCATTTGCCTATCTAGACTATCTCCGGTGGTTGTGTTGCAGAGGGCTAGCTGAACGGTTCTTCGAATTGTCCGATCCATCCTCCCAGTTGAGGTTTTCGCGATTGAACTGATGAGCCGAAAATTTCACTTATCGTTCCATTGACCGTTACTTTCCTATGGCTTGTGGGTCATGTGAATTGGTATAGGGCACTACTCTTTCTGGTAGCAAAAGCCATTTCCATATTCCGGGATTTCCTTGGGCTCCTCACTATTTTTCGTTTGAGGGATTTTCGCACACCGTCACATTCAGTGCTTACTTGTGTGACTTTCCAAGCATCTTTCGGGGCACGCAATCTCGACGACTACTAGTGATCATGCGATTGCATAAGAGAAGTCTAGCATACAGCACTGAACAACGTCAGCATAACCCCTTTCAACCTTTGCCATACTTTATCTACGTGCCTGCTACCAACACAGTGTTGTTGTCTTATATAGGGTAATTAAGCTAACTAAGCTCTAGATAGCTAGCTGAGGTGCTGAGCTACGAAAGTTCTTTGAAGGCTGTGAATTGACATGTTTCTGGCTGAGTTGCGAGTGCCTGAAGGAGAGCGAAATGCTAGGCATTTTTGTAATATGACAAGATTGAAGTCAATTTGTGTGACCAAGAAGAAACGTCATTCTTGGATTTCGGCTCCACACCGATGGTTGGAGGCTACGTAACCCAGTTGAGTCTACGGTTGATTTGCAGTTGGTGGCCAGAGACAAATGACGATCAGCACAGGACTAAAGAAGTCGCTCTTTGTTTTCTGCATATCGAGTAGTTGACTCCAAATAGAACGCTTGGATGTGGGTTTGAGGTGCTCAGATGACTACAATGCTTATTGCTCAACAAAGAACCCGGATAACTCTCGAGAGGAAGTATTTTTCTCAGGCTTAGAACTGTAATGCGCTTGGGAATATGCAGACACTACATTCAGGTGTAGTTTTTTATGGCGAGTGATATTCAGCTTGATTGAACTAATCAACCGAACGGTGCAAAACGACCGTTCACTAGAATCCAATTCACCAGGGCTCATTCAGCTAAGAAGCTGAGCGCAATTCCCACGATATATATTTCACGAGCAATTGCTTCTGGACTACTGGACACATGGAGAGTGAAATATCATCATCATGATCATCACCATCATCATCCTCATTGACAGCATGAAATCAGTTTTCAACATTGATGCCTTGCCGCCGTGCAGCAATAATTTATTTGAAAGCCTTATTGTGAAAAGTGGACGGGAAAGGGACTTGATGCCAGCTTACTACAAATATTCCGAGATGTCTACACCTCCACAAACTCTTCATCAGACAATCTGGATAGAAATTGACAACAAAAAGGCCATCGACACCTACTAGTAACCACATCTTACAGTGTCTACAACAAGGCACAATGGGGACAACGCGGCCCCATACTGGAAGGCAAGTTGCACCGACAGCACCCAAACGTTTCGTAATCTCTTTCATACCCCTGTGCCAGGTCAAGTGTGCCCACATCTCTGCTTCCGCCACTCTGGGTTGGACATTCTTTGGCAAAAGGTGCTTCGGCATACGCAACACATGGCCTAACCAACGCAGCTTCTGGTGCTGCATGACCACTCTTGGGTTTTGTATGCATTATCCAGAGACAGCATACATCCATTTTAAGGGAGGATAAGGCGTTGGCAAGCATTGCCTGTTCTTCACTTTGACATAGAGTTTGGACGTTGGAAGCTTATGTTTAGAAAGGATCTTGGGGATGTAGCAACGTGTTATTTTATTTATCATCAATGGACAGCTGAACGCATTAAACCCATCGGTCAGATAGCTGGCAACCGAATGACCCAGTAACGTTTACTTGTGGTTTAGAAGGTGGTTGGGAAGGAAGATCGGTGAACGAAGACGTGTGGGCAAATGATAAGTCTCGGTTACTCTGGCAGAGGAAGTGTGATCACACAAATAGGGTACGTAAACGTCAGTAAATCCGGTAAGCGTGAGAAAGTATCGACCGTGCTCCAGTCCGAAGCTCCTTTAAAAAAGGGTAATGCAGTACCAAAAAATGGAAAGCAACCCACCTTTTACTATAGCCGACTGTTTAGCGGTTATATTGTCCACATCCATTGTTTGTAACGATTGCAGGAAATTCGTATCGGCCATCATACCTTTCGCAGTCATCCACGAAATATCTTTGTATCCCTTGAATATGCAAATGCATTCGCTCACAACCTGCACGGGTTTGGGTGGTTTTGCAAATGACCGAATTTCTGTTACATCCGACTTTTCAAGTTCATCCAGTGCTAGTCGGGCTTGTTCCAAGGCTGGCAATGCCTCCGCCAGAGCTGACTCAGCTTCAGTCTAAAATGTTTCGACAAGAAACGAAATTTCTAGTGGGTAACAAGAACTTGAGGAGGTGCGAACTTATCGACCGAAAGGTCCACGGTTAGATATCAACCTCTGAATCTCGACTGACTCTGTAGAAGCTTGGGCAGTTTGGCAGTATCTCAGGCCTCGTCTTTCCCTCGAGTGGCGTAGCAGCCAGACACCGAAAGAGCGTCACAGATGAATGGTCGTATTATGTGTTTACCAGGAGCAACTTCTGTGACCAGATGGGTGATTTGACGGTGACATACCAAGATCTCTTCACTTATAAATGTGATAACTATAGACCCCCACAGGCAACCAAACACGAATTTCATAGCTCATCATGTCCATCACTACAGCCCGCTTCAGGTAAACAGATAACATTATAACTAGGAGGCACTAAAAACCGGTTTTCTCAAATAACCGTCGATCTCAGACTGTTGGTTTCAACGGACGTGGACAACAGTCCTGTAAGTCGGCAGGATAGTAATCTAGCAAGTGAGGATTTATTGCGACACCGAGGTTTACCGATATGCCTTTTCGGGTGAGCTTTTTACCTACAACGTTTTGGTCAATGAAAATATGACAAAACACTTTCCTGGATGGGTCCATTGGCAGTGACCACACTGAAGCCATCCTTATCTGATAGGATTTCAAGCGGTCCAGACTGTTTCTAATTTTTAATACCCGTTCGAAGGGAGGATGTTTAAAAATCCGAGCTACGGGTGACGCGTAGCTTCCGAATCTACATGTCATCTACGATATCAGGTATCATATATTCGAGACTGACCGCTGACCATTGCAACTTGGAAGTCATTGAAATGGGATCGCTGTGATTCAGGAGACAGTCATCATTGGTTAAAATAAGTTGAGTAAGTATCCCTGTGAAAACATCAAGAACTCCTCAAAACTCCCACGTGTGGCATTAGGAATCTACAAGTTCAAGGTTTTTCCCACTATCTCACGGAGCTCCTTAGCCCATCAGACAACATTGTGATCTTGCAATTTGACCACCTACCAGGAGACCTCGTAAAAGGCTACCGCCTTCTGAAAATGTTTATCACCGGCAGCCTAGCCAATAACGTAAGCCCTGCATTTTTTCAACGACAAAGTAAGACGGGAAGCCAGTCATGTTCAAAGTATCCAGGGGACGATGACCTACAATCAGATAGTTCCAGCGTGACTCCATAAAGTGATCCAAACTCTCTTCTATCACTGGCTTGCTCCTTACGCAGTTATAAAGGATAATCTACAAATTTGTGCAAGATAATCGAATTGTACCCAGTGCCGTTTGAGTAGGTTTTCACCAATCCCCATTTGAGTGGCGTGGTATCCAATAGGAACAATTGCTGTGGTAATCCACTTGTGAGACTCGTTGTCTCCCTCTGAAACTTGAGGGCTTTGACGGACGACGCCAATATCTTCACTCAAAAGAACTGAAGTTTGTATTGTTGGCTTTATCACCATGTTCAGACCAGCTAATGATAATCCTTCAAAATTATACTGGCTTCAGGGTCTTGCAGTTAGCTTTGTGCAAAGCGCTTGCGGCTTTCCTAATATTCACAGTCGTTCAGTGAATCAACCAGCTTTCACCGGCAGGTTAGTTTTCGATGCCAAAAAGTCGTCGAGTTAGTTTATACAACTTTCATTATTCTCATAAAGTTGACTGCCGATCATCTGTTGTAGCTTTCACTCAGTGTGATGCTCATCAAGTGATCGCGGTTCTCGGGACGTCAGTGCTTGAGATAACTAATAATAACTATTATTAAGATAACTATTAACTTAACTTGCTTTTCAAGTCATAGAGTTATTTTCTCAGATTTCGGGGCTATGTTTACCTCAGCCTGGGTGAAAGCGGGAGTGGGTTATCTTCGAGAAATCGTTTCGTAGCACCTGCATCAAAACAAGGCAAACCGAATCTATTTTGCACGAAAATTTGGAGTGGGCCATATATTGAACATTTGGCATAGGATTATCGACATGCTGCTGCCTATAAAGGAGTCCTATGAATCTCCAGTTCCATCAATCCCACCATGCATACAAGCTCATAAAAGTAACCCTATTCAACTACAAACTAATTTGGTTCTTTCGAGAGACTCACCTGGAACCCAGCTGAATCTCTCGTTTATGATGTTCTCAGGCAACTGAATGTGCTGCATCAGGCCGCCTCATGTTTCAGTCGCTACGATATTTGAAATATCGCGATACATGTATATTTGTAATGTACTACTCATAAGGTTGCTGAAAATCCATCGACAGCCCATGACCGGTTTCGCCCTTCTTGGGGCTCATCAAGTAGGCGCAGTCCCCGGGTTTCCGCCAACCTTATGTTCTACCTGAAACCAAATTGCACGAAATTGGCGAATACACACTAATCTGCAAACTAATTTGGTTCTTTCGAGAGATTCAGCTGGGTTCCAGGTGAGTAGCAGGAGTAGCAGGTGAGTAGTTCCAAGTAGAACATAAGGTTGGCGGAAACCCGGGGACTGCGCCTACCTGATGAGCTCCAAGAAGGGCGAAACCGGTCGTGGGCTGTCGATAGATTTTCAGCAACCTTATGAGTAGTACATTACAAATATAACCCTATTCAACTTTACTTAAGACTGCATTTAGTCTTCGTTCAATGTTCCACATCACCACCACACTTTAATTCATTGGTGTCGGCAACAGCCTCTTCCTGGAATGCCCCACTAACGTTGAATATGTTGAGTTGTAACACACTTTTCACGTAATTGTAATGGACAGTTGCCTGTAATATTGCTGTCTGTGGCTGACGATTTTCAATAGTCACTAGGTATGCGTCTAATTCCCACTTTCACAGGGCATGAAGTAATCGAACTTTACCACAGACTCGGTGAAAACCTAGTGATGAACGGAGTTCAAAACTGTGATCAGAGCTGCTAGTGAATATATCTGGTTGCACGATGCACGAAGTTAGTGAATAACCATAAGTCTACAGCTGACACACAATGACTACACGATTCATGATAAAATATAGGCGTTCGTATCTGCTAGGGACGCCGTTTCATGATAGCTTTTAGTCGACTTCGTCCAGAAAGCGGTGTGCAGTCAAGCGCGCCATCCGAAACTGTAAGTGAAGAATTTTCTTACAGTCTGTCCTTTCGTTCGGTGATAAATTGCGTCGGCAACCTGTCAAAGAACACTGTAGTCTTTGTGCGGCAACACCAGCATTTATTTGTTATTGGTACATGTTGTTATACAATCGCTACATTGGTGTAGTGGTTTTTTCCGCACTCACTTGCTAAATGGGTTAACTTGCGCTCAGTTGAATTTCTTGTATGTTGGCAGAAGAAGATAGGTGTGCTCTTCGCCTGCTCGACCTATAAGTAACCTAGAAATGTTTTGTTTAATATACGCGGGGTTTGGCTCAGTATCATTCGGCCTGTTCTAATCAGTACTAATATTTTGTTTTTGTGAGCCGTTATATAACCCACCAAAGAATGCAATAAATATGCCACTTCGTGAAGCAAGCTTAAAGCAAGAGTTTTCCTTTCGATGGTTTAGGAACTTTTCAAAAATTAAAATCAAATTTGGATACAGTGTTGATACAGTGTTTGGTTAGCTAGAATACGTAAACATACTACGTCTACAACTATGGATTTTTGTTTGAGAAGGGATGAGTTCTGGCATTTTAATGCGAGACGCATATATTTTGAATCGTGACCAGCTGCTATCATGAGGAATCGGAACCGCTTTCTTATTTCTAATAATTGGGAAACTCACTTTCTCTACGGCAATTTCTTTTGACTGAATTTCTACTTCCTTTGATTTAATCACCGCCAACTGTTTCTTTTCGGTGGCCATCTGACTACTGCTGGTTATTTCGCCGAGAAGCGCCTGACAAGCCTTCGTCTTCTCCAATACGGCTACGCGCTGCACAGCCAGTTTTTTATTCAGATCTACTAACTGCAAAGATGCTTCAGTTAATTTTTGCAGACCACTCTCCAAACGAATGATTTGAGCATTTGTGTAGCTGTCGCGCTCCTCAAGAGTCCTGAAAAAGCAAAGGAAGCCATTTTATGACCCGGTAAATATTAGTTTCACTTGGTTGTAATCACCAAACCTACCAAACAGCGAGCGTTCAATGAAATAACCTACGTTGTGTTCAGAAAGGCTTAGGAATCCCGTGGATATTATATCTGAGTTGTGAAAAAACTAAAAGTGATACAGCTAATTAGTCCAAGTTTATTTATGTAGCCATAGCCATGTTTTTTGGCATCCGATCACACGGTTATCTTATCCATTGGATAAAGTTAAACGCCCGTGGTTTGGTAAGCTTTAGAGCTTTCTGTGGGAGTGATTTCCAACCAGAAGAAGCTTTCTGACTACTAACAAGTAGTTAGGATTTCCCAGATTAGTCAACAACTTGCCGCACAAAAATTTCGCTTCATATCAGGTTCATCGGTAGATACCTGGTCCAAAAGTTAGAGCATGAAGCTGTGAAGCAACAGATTACATAGCCGATCTCATTAGTGTCACCTAAAAAGACTCAACGAAACCGAAATCTGGTGGTTGAATCGCTGGCTGATCTTGACAGCTAGCTGAGTTTGACAGTTTCAAACATTCTATGACTAATCAAAGTAAAATTGGCAACCATTGACCCAAAGATTCAAGTGCTCGTTTCCAGCCGCAGCTTCTGCGGTCATTAGCACAAGTGAGAGAGCTATTTGTCGATTTTTCTTAGAGTTCTGATGACCAGTAGATTCAGGTCAGTACTTTTTCACTTTGCCTGAATAACCCACAATGAACATTGCTGGCCAAATTCCTGTTGAATTTCCTGCCTATTTACTTAGTCCACTTATGAACTATATGACAAAACCGAGTTCGTTTTAGCTGTTCAACTTGCTTTCACCGTAAAACGGGAAGACACTGGATACTATGCACTAATCGTTTCCCTGCTGTTGAATTCTGTTAGTTATTTAATTAAGTAAAAAATTCGACAAGTAAAGCTGAAGCTTAACCACTGATGTGTCAGGTCCCGAAGTGCCTATCTAGGAAGGCGTTAGTTGCCGACCCCATGGAGTTTAATGCTGAAGCCTTCTATACTTCATTTTCCTGACCGAGACTGTTCATCTCCCAGTCAGGTCCACCAAGCACGTTGCCGGGTAAAAAGAGCAGTGTAGGGTAGGTGGTCCTCCAAATCAGATTGATCGATGGAGCTGCTTCTTCCCCAAAACCGACCGGCGTAACTTAGTGTCCCCAATCCGCCATCCACCACGCACAATTTAGGAGGGGGTTAGTGTGTAGAGGCCATGTCCCTGATCTAGAGCATTTTAGGGATCACACTGGCGCCAGTCAAACACTATCGTCGGTGGACAAACTAAAGTTCCTACAGTTTTCACAAATGTATCCGCCCACAAGGTTGCCAAGACCCTTCGGCAGCCCACGACAGCCTTTTTGCCAAAAATTGATTCTAACCCCGCTTGCTTGTTTCTCTCCCCCCGGAATAAAAGCATGAAACTTTTAAAGATAGGTTCACGTGCTATATAGTATTTGTGAATAACTTCAGCCTTTCCAAAGATTAACTACCGTACTAAAAACAACATAAAACTATTACCTGTCAAACATTGTCTAGTGTATGATACTATGAAGAAAGGCCGTTCTCATTCAAGGCCTAAAGCTAAGAATCAACATGATGGCCTGCCTTATTTGACCACTGCACAAAAATTGTGACTGCTAATGTGACGAGAGTGTGAGGAATGAATATCAACTGAGCACCCTCAACTTGACAAGTGCTCAAGGAAAGACTGAGATACTTTTGATGGAAAATGTACAGAAAAAGTGCAGAAATGTGCTCAGAAAGTAGTATGTACATCAACTTGAAAGAACCTTGTCGCATGACCACGGTCTACGAAATGCAATAAAAAACGGCTCATTTTGTTTTGTAACCTGGGATATTTTTCACTTGCAGAACCAATATCCTAAGCAAATCCTTCTGAAAATGAGATGTTAACCCAGGTGGTTTCAATGAATAAGTGTCATGAGCACCACACAGTTAGTCCGTCTTTGTTTATGAACTATCATTTCGATGATTCTCGTTGCCATCAAGGTGCAGTGGGCTAACCTGTTCCATAAGCAAGTCTATTCAACAGTACTATGCTAAGTGTGGTATAATGGCAAAGAAACCGGATGAAATTGACTAACAGCATACATATATAAGCAACTAACCAGCGTAAAGCATCCAGACTTCTTCACACGTAATTAGAAAGTGCAGCTCATGGATCCATTAGATAAGTCGAAGACGTAAATAAGGTCCAAGTAAATGAATTCAAGGCCAGAACATATTGGCACTATACTGTAGGTGGTAGTTCCACTTTGTAATCACTAAGCTGGATATACTTCCAAGTACCTCCGGTCACCGACGCCAGTGTTCGCCTTGGGATAAATGTCTATTTTAGATTATCTCCAGGCGTCCAGTTAGCGGTCGATTGAGACAACAACACAAATGAACTGCGCGAACCTAGCCCAGAGACATCGGTTATCTTCAGTTGAGATTTTGTTCCGTAGGTGAAACCAGTTGATTCTAAAATCCAGGGGGCGCTGCACAGTTGTATTGTCTTTATTGAGAATCATAAACAGTATGCAGCTCACAGAACCTCAGACGGTGTCGAATCCTTGACCTCCAAGCTACTAGCTGGAACACTTGACCTTTCGACTATGAGCGTCTGATCAACTCCAGCACTTCGATTGAATCGGTCCCGGAAGCCACATCACTTAGTTTCCGAGTCGCCTCACACTACCAGCAAACAACCATTTTGTTTTAAAAAGTACTATTTCAAGCTCACAAAATTTCCATGCAATTATTACCGATCTGTCACAGAATTTCGATAGCATCCGAAGTGAGACCAAAGAGAGTGAGAAGCCAGTCGCTTTCTTCATAGAACTTTGTTGTCATGTTGGATGCACCAACTAACGCATCGGTTACATAATTTAGAAGGCACACAACAATTTCTGTCGCTTCTATACAGAATAGAATGGAGTAATTCCTTAGCTGATCCATTGACAAACTTTTTCGCACGCTGGTAACAAAGTTTAAACGCCCCCCGGTCTAGTTGTGATGGTTCATAAAGTTGCCGAGCATCTAATTCCAGTCCAAAGGAAAACATCTAGCGGTAAAATATTCTTACTTTTAGGCACGAAAAACATGTTTTTTCTGTATACAGGATGAGCTTGTTTGACTGAGGTAGACAGAGTTAAATGGGTTATAGATCATGGTTGAATAGTTGCTTTCTTCTTTACAGCCGATTTCGCACAAATTGAGGCGTCCTCTTACGTAATGTAACTGATTCCTCCCCTACGAGGCAGTCTCCACGAGGTATCTTCAGTCTTCTAATGAGCTTGTTCTAATCGTATCACTAAATTTTCAAAGGAACGACTGTAGGTTTACCTTTTGTACGTGTTGATATAGTCCAAATAATGTTTCGGAGTCACAAAATTGTTCCTTCTCAGCGTTTGGGCAAATTCTTCTGTGTATTTGTGCACACTGAGATGCGTGGTAACCACATGATCAATGACCGCTTCTCGATACTTCTGTGTCACCAAAGTGTAGTCCGACGAGATGAACGCACGAACCACAGCATAAAGTGCTTGCTCTGGCCACGGGAAGAACCAATCGATTGTGGTATTGTTCACCACACCAGGGAAGTTACGACATCGCGTGCGCAGAGTATCACCCACCTGAAGACAGTATAATTATATTTAAGGATAGACACTGTTGGAATCCAAACTGGTGATTGATCAGTGAGGTTCGGGGAGCTTCCTAGTTCAAGTGGGTTTGTTGATTTATTGTTCTCTGCTAACGCCTCCTAGTTTGGTCAATTTTTGCATTAATTCAAGCGTCCAATAAAAATACAATATCGACAAATCTTTCATTGTTTTCGTATTTGCAATGATCCGGAGCTGCTTCTTATCAATCAGGTGGCTTTTAATCAAATCAAATAAACGAAGTATTATTGAAGCTTTGTTGTTCATAGGAATATGACTCGAACATCATCCCAAAGCAAAATATTTTCAACAAGCCCATGGAACACTCTAGGGTGAGATTGGGGATCTCAGCTATGAATATACTGAAGAGATATGAGTATAACCTTCCGTCGTGTAACTTACTGGACTCATACACAAAACTACGTGTAGGTTTCTTGCTGCTTTGCGAACAAAGTATTGCCAAACCGATTCGCGAGCACTGGTATATCCGGAAGCCACAGCTTCTTCCCTCAACTCGTTGATGATCGAATCTCGCTCATCGTCAGCGAACAGAGCTGGTACTAGCCCAGTCGTAAGGATGTTGTTGATCAATTCAAGAAAACCTGAACCAAGGAGGAAATAAAAATGGGGAATTCCATAAACCCAAGGTTCGCTTACTCCATCTCAATGTCACAGGTTGGCCAAGCTAATTTCTGTGTGGTGCGTTCCCATCAAGTGTGAACGATAGCATATCATTCTCGTACATCAGCGACATTGAATACCTCATTTTATGAGCACAGATACCGGCAAATGTTGATCATTGATTAGTGGTATGGTGGAAGACTCACTATTCTCTCATCATTCTTACTCGAATGATGTGGAGTCTGCTAACAGTCGGAAATCCCGAAGCAAGATACTTTCCATTAAGGAAGTGTGATGTTCTTTAGATTGTCGTGCCCACTTACGCACCGTAATTTACTCTTATTTTTGGAAGTCATTGAGACATATTACTGAATCTTACGTAAAAGCATTTGATTCCGAGGTGCTTTTTAGCAATCTTGCACAGTCCGAATTTAGATCTATAGGGACGTGAACAATCCATGTGGGTCGCTTCGCATCATCTACCGAGTGCCTACCGAGTGTCAGTATCAACCTAAAAGCATCGCTTGACTACAGCTAAAAGGGTTACAGTATGATTGTCGAATCCGGTACTCTTAGCATTCGTAAGAGCACTGAGTCTGCTGTGACATCTGGCACGAGCCGATCAACCCAGTCGCTCGGTGGCTCCTAGACCAACTAACAAACTCTAGCCAGGGTGACTTGGTCTTAGCATTCGTAAGAGCACTGAGTCTGCTGTGACATCTGGCACGAGCCGATCAACCCAGTCGCTCGGTGGCTCCTAGACCAACTAACAAACTCTAGCCAGAGGTGACTTGGATATTGCTCACGAACAGCTATACAGGTTTCCGGGTTTCCTAATTCGGAGTCGAACTTGAACTGCTTTCCCTTATTTTAACCACCAGATATGCTGCAAAGTGACGATTAGTTACCGACACCTTTGATGTTCAACACTGTCTTTGTTGCAACTGTGGTACCACTCAAGCTCTCGACATATATCTGTCACACATATCGGGTTTATCGTCAAAATAGTCATGATGAGCCCGTGTTCATGAAAACGACCTGGCGGGAAACGTTCGGTAGAAGTCAGCTTCCAAAATAATGGATGTTTGATTATGGCTCTCAAACGGAATGAATACGCTCACGACCGGAGCAGGTAATGGTTCCAATATATTTTAACCCAGCTTATGCTTGGACGTTCATTAACGCAGTCGGATACACTCAGCTTTGAACAGTTTATGTTCAGTTTTGTACAACATGACCCCAAGTATATGAGTTCAGCCGCTCGACACGACTCGAAATTATGCAGTAATTGGACTCAAATATGCTGCTTATTCCAAAGCCCACTAAGTTAGTACAAGAAGGCCGATAAAATTCACGACAATACTGTAAGTAACTGCAGTCGTTTCAGACCACACCACTTAGCTATTTTCTGACACTGGTCAGAAAATAGCTAAGTAGATCTATATGCGCTGAACTGTTTGTTGTGGTGTCGTTTTTAATGAGTCTGTAGCCCGAGAGCGGTCATGGACACCTGGGCTCATTTAGGCAACAGGACATCTCCAGTTCAAGGTTTCTCCAATGTACGATAATAACTACAGTATGCTTCTTGCGGTTCCATTTTGCATCTTGGCCCGTGTCCTAATGAGCTGATTCGAGCGTGAAATTCCACAGATTTCCCTCTTTAAGGAGTTTTCTGACGGAGGGACCAATTTTGATGCAGATGGAATGTACGTGAACCACTATTGTCAGGAATTAAAAGAATTAGTTTTTTTTTTTCACAAGGCTTATTGGAATTAAAAGAATTCAGTTTTTCGTTTCACCAAGGCTTATTGGCGATACCGCATATAAGTCTGATTCTTGGGTATGGCTCACAGAAGCCACAGAAGCCTACAGGTTTGCATGATCCATTTAATACAACCTACCTGGAGCAACGGGAACAAAAAGACAAAGGTTCTGCAGCAAAAAACTGTGCAACATTCTCTAGAATACTTACCTTCTTCGACCACATGTTGATCAGTGAACATGAAAACCGTTCGTTTGTTTTCCATTCCGAGACGCTGAAATAGTACTTTTAGTTCCTCCCGAAATTCCCGCTCACCATAGCCACGACACAATTGAATTTCAAAATGATCATAACCGGCAGCGAAACCTGCAAGTCGCGCGAGACTTTGCTTACCAGACCCGCCCACTCCGACCAGAAGCAGATGTCCGTCATCCATGCGAATCACACGCTCGATTCGTGTTAGGTGACTGATTGCGTCGTCAAATAACACCATGGGTAACTTACCCACTGCTTCATTATATCCTTCAAGGATCTGTAATTCAGGGGTAGCAGAATGCAGTATAAGCGGAAGGATTAACTGTAGCAACAATGAACTCTCAGGTAAACTTGGAACAAGGATGTTGATATAGACTCATCCGAACAACTCAACAGCTCACACATCCTCATTAAGAGATATACTTTCTCACTAAGAACAAATCAAAACAAACTAACTGATGTCGGAGTGCAAATAAGAGATTTCGTTTATTCATTCCACGCAGTTCTGTTCAAAAACGGCAAACTTTCAGTGACGATGTAAGATATATTTCAACTTTTAAACTAAGTGATGTCTGTTTCGTTGGTAGAAATCAAGCGTAGAAGTAATTTGTAGGTTGGGAATCTCGGGACATTTTTTGACGATGTTGAATAGTCTGTGAAGGAAAGGTTACATCAAACAACTTCGCTGGATATATAAAACAACCGCATTGCTGCTTTGCTAAGGTATCGATAAAGAAAGTCCTGTTTAAGGTCGTCAGTCGAAATTTTGTTGTAACTTCAATGCGAAGACCATCAGTTTTCGGTTTATTATGAAAATACAAGCATCGTCCAAATGTGTGATCCCAATACTAGGTCACGCTAAACTCAGAACGGTTACGTAAAGAGTGGTTGGAGCCATCTTGTCCTCAGATATGATTCTAATTTCTATGTCATTTTGATGACTTTGCATGAGCAGTTATTTGCCAGGCATTAACCAAATCGAGTATAGTACCTGGGACACATGCGTTTAACGGAAGAAACCGTAATAATTTTGCCAACAAATAATTGTACAGCACTGCTATATTAATGAGGGGGATGGAGAGGTGAGAGGAATTGGAGGAAATCCTTTAAACTCTATAAGCTTAGACCAGGATTTAGTAAAAACATGCTTTAACCTATAACTTTGTCTTGGAGTAGTAAAAACTGAAACTGACTCATAATGTATTAACCGCATAAAGCACCAAAACTTCAAAATAATCGGGAATGTGCTCGTTCGCTAGACTATGTTCTGCAAGCAAACGGGCATCTTTGTACGTCATTATACATCTTCGTACATCACTAATGCTAGCTGAAACGTAATTCAGCAATCGAATACAGCTAAGCCCATACTGTGAATCATCTACGCATTTTCCAAGTTGGATATGGCGTCTTGAAATACTCATTTGAATTTTCGTTGTCTAGTCTTGTTAATTGTATTTTCTACCAAAGCTGTCATTTCATCATGATTGTCAGACTTCAGTGCTGCAGGGACCCTGTACGCTACAGTTCCTGTTTGAAGGCTTATAAAGAAGGATAAAGAAGAGAGGTTGGGAAACACAGCGAGTTTTTTTCGTTGGGGAGTTGTGACGCAAAACAGCCGTGATGTAAATTCTTACAGTGGACCGCGAAAGAATGGCAAGGAAATATCTTAACCGATGTGACCACCATTTTCAAATTTATGAGAGAAATAATGTCGCATTCCTTCTTGAAAAGACGGACCACTAAAGATCTGTCCTAAAGACTGCACACTCCGCTTACTACACAGCTGGTCGTGGCCACCAGTGCATTACTTATTACGGTCAAAATGCTTTTGAAACCCAAGAGTATGGTGTAGCCCAAAGCGTGGCTGCTTTGTACAACAGTATTGGGAGTCAGATTATCATGCTTTGCTCCCTTTTTCCTCAGGCAAGGCTACCATCTCACTGTCAGGAAGGCCATAATGCCTCAAGGAAAGAGAACTGATAACCAACTTACCGCTTACACGTCAAACGAAGAACATCAGAGACGCTCCTAATTCGAATCGTACTCCTAAAATTTGAAACCATTTGACAAAGATGGAGGCGACAAACCAGGAAAGCGCAGCCACTGTGGCCAGGAAATTGAACCCTATCTCATCGATGTGGCTGCACTAAGAAAGGCTCGTCTGGATAATAAAGGAGGACTACAGAAAGCTAAGTATGCATTCTAATAGTCTAGAATCTCATGGGATAATCGAAGGTAGTCTTGAGTCGGATTTACCGTGACAAGTCACATCAAAGTAGACATACTGGATGGGCGGAAGTGGATTATATAGGCGTATGACAGCAGGCTCTCACAATATGAGCGACTCGCTGTGCTGGATAAAATATTCACCACACTCTGGTGCTACCTATAATGCGAACGGCTCTAAAGAAGTCTCTTCTTCCTGCGATTACGCTATTGCCAGTCAGGTCCAGAATTAAGCAGCTGTTGAATCAGTCAATATAACAGAAGATTAATGTGGCTGGCCTGGCAAATATCCAGTTCTACAGCACCACAGTTATAGTAACGAGTATAAAGGAATATTTCAGCATGTTTTTAACAAAAAGCAGTGGATCTAAAAAACAGAGACAATACTAGTTCTTTAAAAATAACACATTTGTGTTGTAATGTGCTGGAATTTATGTGTTCACTTGTCCACGAAAAGTAAACCCGATTTTTATAGACGTGACACACTACTCACAAGGTTACTAAAAACTCCGACGGCCCAAGACCGGTTTCGCTCTCCTTCGGACTTATCAGGTGAGCTGTCAACCTTGTGTTGCCAAGACGCTGCAGAAGCCGTCAGATTTACTTATCTGAGAAGAGCTTTGCAACTCGGGTACCAAACTTTTCAAAACAAAAAGAAACGGTTAGTATATCCCATCCTACTCAGAATGACGCTGTCGTGGAAAATTTTTGAAGCACTGAAAACATAATATCTCTCATGCATACAGAGCACAAAACCAGTCAAACGCTTAGTGAGTCTGAAGATATAATGGCTGGTTGGGCAGATACTATGTATCATCGGACTAAGACTTGGACAATGTTGCGACGCTGCCCCAAGCCACTGTGAAGGTGAACTTTTATAACCTGCGTCTAAAACTGGACTGTAAACGGAAAGGCCTGTCGGAATATTGGTAGCTCTTGTAAGTGTTCAGGTGGCTATCGTTCTGTTCGCTAAGTCATTTCGCAAGTTCAGCGAACAGATCAACAGCCACCTGTTCAATCACTTGCTGGACTATTGAAAATGCATGGATAATAATAATATAATAATAATAATAGAAAATGAAGTTTATTTTGCTCAACGGTCAAAATTTCTGAAAACACCCAAAACGTAATCATTTACATTCCAAATATACCGTTTTTAAAAGAACTGAAAACTGTTAGAGAAAGACAACTACCGAAGAATCATCAGGAGGACAGTGAAGCACAATGAACTCTCCGGGATCTCTCTTCAGCACAAAACCGATGGTTAAAATAGTGGTAAATAATGGTGTAAACAACACCCATATATCTAAAGTTAAAAATATTACTGCAAGACAGGCTGACACTAAAACGTCCAAGGCAAAAAACCTGAGTGAGTAAAGCGACGAGCCTTATACCAGACAAACCAGAAAGTTTCCTACAAGACTGTCCCAGCATTGTTCTGGAAAGAGCGCTGCTAAAGATTTTGTCGCTAGGACCGAAATTCTCCCTTCTATGTCATAGGGATCATAGGTTAGTGTTCGAAGTGCGATTTGTGAACCTCTTTGATCATACTTGGAGAACGCTTCAGACTGCAGACCGCTTCAAGTCAAATCAGTTCAGTCGAAGCTATTGGTATAATCACTCCGTGGTGGTCCATAAAACTCCCCTCACTAAGAGACATCTAGATGTGCTATTAACCAAGCCTGAAAAATGAGCAAACACCTTAGAAAGATCACACAGATCTTGAGTTGCATTTCGAAATTTAGCAAACAGAAAAAGGAAAAAAGACCAGACCCAAGTAGTTGCGTAAGAGTTGAAGAAAGTTCCAGATCTGTCAGCAATATCATCCCAAAATTTTATGGTCTAAGGTTCATTAGAAAGATGTCCCATTCAGACCCGTTCTGGATGTGTGTAATTCCCACATCACACAACTATTCAATGGCTCGTCGGGAGTTAACGATCCGTGTGTCAACGTAAACATGAAAATTTTCAGTTTCTACAGCTAGTAAAACACTTGTATATTTCTTACGAACCTATATCTTTTTTCGACCAGAATCACTTTTCACCAATGTCCCACTCATGTGAGCCACAAATTTCGCCATTGATTACACCATCTCATAAGATATGACTCTGTCATCCTGAATTGCCTCTTTAAGGGAAATAATTTTATGGTGTACTTCCAATGTAACACTCTAATTTAACTTCACATTGTACCGACAAATCAATTGCGTTGACAAAGAGTCCCTTCTTGCTTCCCCATGAATCGCCACGTTTACGGATTAACAGGATCTTGGACGATTAGATGTATGCACTCTCATCGACCGTACTTGGGTGATACCTTTATACTACTACCAAACAACTTCGAAGTGTTCTTTTTGCACAACCATGTGGGAGGTGGAAGAGAGCCGGAGGCAGTCAAACACTGACTTGGTGGCGAATTATAAAAGACATTATCATGAAACTCAGCTTCGGTGTTTATTGCTGTCTTCCTGAAATGGGGACCCCAAGACGGGCCACATCAATGGTTAGAGACATTGCCAGACATAGCTCAGTTGCTCCCTCAGTGGCGCTGGCGCATCCAAGCTATTGCCTTTAACAGCTCTCTCACTTGTATATTTCTTACGAACCTATATCTTTTTTCGACCAGAATCACTTTTCACCAATGTCCCACTCATGTGAGCCACAAATTTCGCCATTGATTACACCATCTCATAAGATATGACTCTGTCATCCTGAATTGCCTCTTTAAGGGAAATAATTTTATGGTGTACTTCCAATGTAACACTCTAATTTAACTTCACATTGTACCGACAAATCAATTGCGTTGACAAAGAGTCCCTTCTTGCTTCCCCATGAATCGCCACGTTTACGGATTAACAGGATCTTGGACGATTAGATGTATGCACTCTCATCGACCGTACTTGGGTGATACCTTTATACTACTACCAAACAACTTCGAAGTGTTCTTTTTGCACAACCATGTGGGAGGTGGAAGAGAGCCGGAGGCAGTCAAACACTGACTTGGTGGCGAATTATAAAAGACATTATCATCAAACTCAGCTTCGGTGTTTATTGCTGTCTTCCTGAAATGGGGACCCCAAGACGGGCCACATCAATGGTTAGAGACATTGCCAGACATAGCTCAGTTGCTCCCTCAGTGGCGCTGGCGCATCCAAGCTATTGCCTTTAATGCACAGCTCTCTCCCTAATCCCCCATTTGACAGTCCACCGACTGTTCCCTATTTACGCACCAAGTTATCACCTCCCGTCTCCAATGCGCAGCCATTTACCCAACCTCCCAAAATCATCGAACGCAACTGTGGCAGCTACAACCACTGTACGACAAGTACGCGGTTCTTACAGCTGATAGTGATGATAATGATGATCAAGCAGACCATCCATAGAACAACTTGAAATAAGTGCGTCTCTCCATTCGGTCTACTTCTGAGAAAGCAACAATGCAACGGCTAATCCACCTCGAAAATTATCGGATACTGTTGCGAGGCTCTGATTTTCTATAGTTCTGCCATAAACAACCTGCATTCAAACTGTTTTCTTCCCCTTGATTGGGGCCCACATACTTTCACCACTAGTAAAATAATTTTGCAGCTCTGTTTCATATCAAGCTTTTCTCCTCAGGATTATGAATGGTTCAAGATCGAGATTATCATCAAAGTACATTTGTAGGTAACCGCTTCAATGTATGAGAGCGAAAATTCCGGGAAACTCTTCACCACTTACGGTTGAGGTGACTTCACAGCACGACTTTCAGAGGACAGTTGAGACTAAATAGCAGTAAGGAAAAACAGGACACCGCTATTTTGTGTGTGAATCATTTTCGTAAAGCAGACTTCCAGATTTAATAATTTCTTTCACTGATTTTTGGTATCCACCTTTCTGATCGCGCTGTTATGACTTTAGAATTTCTCTTTCATTTCATGATTAGGAGTGAGTGAGAACTGCTAGCACGTTCATGTGCTGGAGTTCAGTTGAGCTGTGAATTTCTCACACAAAGTTCCCACATAAATTGATGCAACCGACATTTTATGTCCTGTGGTTGTATGTAAAATTATTAGTTAGTTTAACTGAGTTGTTAAGGGATACTGAATATCGAGGCTGAAAATAGGATGACACCATTAATTGCAGTGCATATACACTTGACTGAAAATGAACTTACCTGCTGACATATCTCTCGACAATTCTCATAGTCCACCAAGTCTTCATACAGTCTAACTTCACTATCGTCAAGTGCATTCTGATAATCACCGAACAAAAGTGGCTCTTTGGTGGCGTACTCAAAGCAGTCACTAAAGTGCTCTTTCAGCAGATCTGAAATGCAACCCTGTAATAAAAACGGAACAGCAGTGTAAGATAAATTCGCAGAGTAATAAAGAAGTTTTCAACTTTCGAAAAGAAAAGACTGTCTGGGCACCGGTAATCACCGGTTTCGAATCAACAAATCGAATTCTTACACTATCCTCCAATTTATCGGCAGAATACCTACACGATAGGCTTTGATTGAAAAAATATCATGAACGAGTTTTGGGTGGAATTCGGGAAGTGTAAGTTGCACACAAACTGAACTTCATTAGGAATACAGCGATGCTCGCTAGTTCATTGAACCCCGCCATTACAGACACAGCTTCGTTCTCAGTGTCGAAAAATCCCTCACTAAGCGGATTTTGAATTAGTCATATTCATTTAGGAATGTATTGTTGTCACAAGCACATCTGGATCAACTTCCGACTAAGAGTTTGACCTGGCTGCCCAAGTTCACTCAATATAATTTATAATGCTTCTCTTGTCACACCCGTTTTCATTTACCTTCTCTTCTTTGGTGTGGATTGTCCAGAACAATTGCATCAGGACGGAAGAGGGACCGCTCAAGTTGTGGTGATGTTAGTGTGAATTCTGGAGATTTTGAACTACCTACGAGCAAATAAATCAAGATAGTAAAATTAAAGGTTCAGAAAACCATGAAACTCACTCGAACCACTTGTTGGTCAACATCACAGATAAGGCGATCCATTATCACGCGATGAACTTCGTGCACCCACAAGCGAACCAGCTGCTCAGCTCGGTTGAACCGATCCACTGTCATCAAACAAAGACCACTGTATATGCGGCCCAGATCCCGCATGTTGAAAACATAGTGAAACTTTGCTGGGGTTGGTGGCAACTGAACAGTGACAAACCTGAAATAAATAGTCGGCCATCACTGCCAAACTCTTAGGGTATTAAACAAGAAAACAGGCGTGCTCAAAAAAACGGTCTGTTTCTGTAAAATACGTGTCGCTCTATTTCGAAAAACGACCAAGACAAATTGTCAGGGCTCACCAACCTGCGAGACAACACGGAGAATTTTTTCAACTATGATTGACCCTCACAAAATTTGTAAGTCAAGTTGGACGATAATTTTCAAATAAATCAGTCGGCTGATCAGTCTCACTAGATTTTAATCCATGACTGCGATGTTTGAGAAAAATCCATTGGATCGAATTAAGTGACCGATTTTCGTATACCGACTTCTTTCGAGTAGCAGTCTAATGTGAATCCAGGCACTTTTGCTAGGTCGTTTGAGACCAGATGTCCAAAACCTGAAGCTCAGCGTTAGCTGAGGAATACATACCTCCAGTTGGATGGCTTCCTGGTAATTCAGCTTGCTTTTTATGTCACAGGCGAACCTAGTACTCAACAGAGGAGCTTGAAGAGGCGTGCGTAGAATTGATACGCGGTGCTACAGAGCAAGCGAAAATTTCGCAACAGATTTACTCTCCTAAGTTTATCTCCAATCACAAGAAATGATGTAAAATGTCTAGTGCGATCGCTCACCAGAGTACTCAGCAGTCAACCTCTTGAAAGTAAACAACCTGGAACCGAGGTGAGTGCGTTCTATTTTCTAAGCTGCTCGTGCCTGAAAGCGTCACCTTAAACATGACACCATTAACCTTGCAGACGATGGGGATGTCACTGGATTATCATAACCCCTTAAATATATGTTACTGGCCAGACCTGGGGAGCATCTACTTAGTGTTGTGCTGAATGAGGAGTGGCCGATAATACCGCAATAACAAACAGCTAGGTGATGCCGATGTTCCTCGTTGTGTCCGCATTTTTAGACCATTTGATGAGTTGCAACATAGCCACTACGTAGTCACTACATAATCACTCGCCGGTCCTAATTTATTGGATCTAGATCGGCTCAAACAACTTGCATGCAGCAAGCCATGCAAGCCGTTGGTGGTCCTCAATGTACGCGCAGATGCCTAGTGGTTTGACCAGCAGATCCCATTTGGAAGCCAGTTGATTCTGTTCGCTTTTGGAAGTAAAAATATGTATCAAGTCAACCATCGAATCAATGTTGTGGTAACTTCAGTTGTCTATCCAAAATGCCTGGTTGACCATGCAGTCTACTTACGGCAACACCTTGTAATACTCGCATTCCAGATGACCTCGACATCATTTGGGTATCGATTTCTCCGAGATATGACTGGACGCATCTGGTCACTCCTTCCTGCTGCACACGAAGAACTAGTGAGTTCAGTTTCCTTTACTAAGGTCAATAAATCTATGGCATGAAAATGGATTTTTATCGAAAGACTGAAGTCGAGGTGGAAGGGACCGACGAATTTCGTTAACTGGTCAGTCATCACTCTTACGTAAAACTTACTTAAATAGTTCCAGAGTCAGTTGCGTGATCTTCTTGCATGCATTTCGGATATCAGCATCAAATTCAGCCAAGTGACCTGCTAATATGGAATCGTATATCCTTGTTAAAGTGTCTTCTGCGGGTGGCGAAACATTTAGTACGGAGAAAAGAGAGATGAAACGAGGATCCACTTCATTACGTCCACCGTCTGGGCTACCCATAGAAGCTACATAGTCCAGGTCGTTCATCCGTTTCCAGTTTAAATCCTTCCCTCGATCATAAACCCCTTTTCGTTCCACAAGCAATTTTAGTAGAGCAATCGGTTGTTGTGTGCCATAGGGATCAACTTGAGGCATGTTTAGGTCGTCGACAAATATGAGCAGACGTTTACCTGCCACCGGACCGTACGTGTCCTTACTCCGTTTCTCGACGTTTGCCTCAAGGTTACGTTGCACATTCAAAGAGGTTGTTCGAGAGGAAAAGTTGACGGCAAGGACCAGCTGGTATTGATAGAGACGTTAGGGGGACAAAACATAAGTTAAGCAAGGGATTCGCCATGCGACAGTGAAGGAACTGCATAAACAAATGAACTTCGTTACATGAATTTCGTGGCAGGTTTGTAGTGAGCAGAGATGAATTTCATCGCAGCATGAGATATACAAATTTATCGTGCATACCGCACACCGATGGTTTTTTCAAGCAACTGGTTCGTTCCATCCATAATTTTGTTAGAAGGAAAAGGATACCGCGAAGACCCTCCTCAAGCTTTTTCGTCCAGGAAAGAAATGAGCAGACAGAACGTGCGTCATATTTGCGTCAGTTTACGCGCCAACTATAGCAGGACCACTTCCAACAAGAGAATGGGGACATGAAGTCAACAGATTTACTACAACTTTCCTCAGTGAATGCAGATGGAACAAGCACTAAATCCAGCCTGGTTATCTAGCAATACCGAGTTGCATATCGTTTAGCTAACGCGTTCACCATCAGAGTTGTTAACACAAGTGGAGTTGGTTGTGAATTGCCTACAAAGTAGGCCACCAAGGATGGAGACCACGTGAACTTTTCTGTACCTGGCTGAAGACATTGAACGATGTGGGATTGGCTGTCAGCTTTTATCCAAATTGTATTGCGTCCTCCCTCCCTGCCTCAACTTTTATTCTTTCATATAATGCTTTATTCAGCTAAATAGATTCGCTGGTATGGCAGTGTTCCCACTGTAGGTGTTATTGATGACGATGATGGCGATTATCTAAAGGCGAGACAGTTACATCACCTAAACGTCCCATTAGTAGAAAAGCCAACCAGCTGGATCATTAAAACGAAGATCCTAAAAACATGAAACACAGTAAGGAATACAAGGCTGGTGAGAAAAACCGCATGCCCAACACCGTATTATGCGGGGGCGTTGTAGCCTGAGAAATATAACTCTGAGGTAGGTAACTCACATATTTGTCTTCATCGAGCTCACGCAAGAAGTGTTGACATGTGGCTGTCTTGGACGTGCCAGTATGTCCAACGAGAAGGAGAGGTCGGTTAATTCGTAAAGATTGTGACAGTAACCAACTGATACGAACTGTTTCTTTGGTTGGCACAAGTATCTCAGAAAATCGCTTATTTTTGTCGTGCACATAGGCTGGAATCAGTTGTTTCCAAGGGATCCAGACAGCGTTTCTCGTGTCATAATAGTACTCAAATAGTGACTTCTCAGCACAAGGGAGTTCACCTGCTCGAGCAGGTCGGCTTGGAGTTTCTGGCTCTGCGGGTCCAGGCAGACTGCTGAGGTATTTTGTGTAGGAGTCAAAAGTTTCACGTTCTTCTTCCACCAACGCCTCCCCAAAGCAACAGTAGAGGCAGAACAAAAATGTTGCTTCAACGTTTGCAAATGGAGTAAATTCATCTGTTTTTAGAAGACTTCCAAGCACATGACAAAACTGAACTACTAAATTCAGATCTGTGAGTGGCACCACTCGCCGTAACCTCTTCACCTGTCTTCCGTCTGCAATGCCTTCAACAATACGACTAAGTAGAAGGGTCACGTATTTGTCATACAGTTCACCCAAGGCATCGCGTTCTGTCGGGTTTGTTCGTCCGCATACCCATCTTTTCCAAAAAGGCTCGTAACCAAGGTATTTTGGATCCACGTAAACCATTCCACACCGTGATACGGTAGCCGGTGAAGCGTATTGTAAATCACCAACTTCAAACAGCAAAGCACAATGCTGTTGGAGACGAATTCGTTCCCCATTCGCCAATGTGAGTAAACGGTTATCATCCATAACTGAGTTCATATTCTCGACCCAAAGCGAATCCACATCGCCATCAAACAGAATGTATCGTCTTTCCTGTGTGAGAGACGCAAAGAAAATTTAGATGTGGTCAATTGTATACATTCTGGTCATCTCTATGCTCTGTCCGTTTGGTGATATTGAAATCTGGTCGAATTGTTAGACAGAACGTCAGTGGACCAAGTTTTTTCCTAATGCTCAACGAATACGGACCAGTGTTTCTTTCAACGATATCTGAATATTTTCCGAAGGGGTTGCTACGAGTCATACGACCGGTGAAATGCAGTTCATAATCAGAAATGAGTGACCAGTTTCACAACATATCCATAAAACACGTCCGTAGTTGTCACTACTCAAAGCAGTAAAAATGTTGCTACACCACACAATCACAAGCGGCCATCGTTTTGTGAAACCACATCACCTAGGACACAGCAATCAACACTGAATGCACAAAAAAATATTGCCCGAGCCAACCTGATTACCATGATCCCATTCCACCTGTTATCCTAACATATTGTACAGAGGACACTGTCTTTAACAAGCAAATCTGGTGGTTTGCGTTTGCAAGTGAAATACAGTTGAAATGCTGACATCGGGCAACACGCGTCACTTGGCTGGTGTGATGAGCTGAATATAGCGAAATCAGTGTTGACATAAGACGGCATGTGTGAGTTTACGTTAACGGCCCGGTGGATGATCAATAGGCAGTAAAACTACTTCGCACCTAAGCAAAACTTTCCATACTGATAACAAACTATAAGCAGCTCAGAAGAGAAGTCACTTGCTGAGTACAACTTTCATCTGACAAGTTATCTTCACGATACAGAGAATTGTTTAGACTAGTTTTCTTACCGTTACGCAGCAAGGCAAACCCCAGTAAACAAAGTCTGTTTTGATCAAAATGTTTTACAAGTCACCTAAGCTCTGGAAAACTAGCCTAATTAAAGCAAAGCGAAAAATATGAATTTTATGGAACAGCAGTCTAAACGCAGTTGGACGGAAACGGCTCTACAATAATTAATGCCAAGAAGCAATCAGCCATTTCCTGGTATGCAAAAAACTGATATGCGTTGTGCTTACTAATTTGAAAAAGTGACTGATGGAACATCGTATGACTACAAGCTCATTTCGTAAAATCCACTTAAAGGATGAACAAAACGCAATTCTAGAAGAGGATGATGACGAATTGTAATACCTACCTGACGCTCTGTCGGCTTGTTGACTTCACGAAAGATGTTGGACAGAAGTCCATCCGTCCAGTCTCGAGTGTTTGGATCCAGGATGCCGTACAGTTCAACGACACTTCTATCTTTTGGGTTCAGAACGTGAAGCTTTGTAGTCAACCCCAAATGTGTTTGTGCGAGACACAAAATTTCAATGACTACGGATTTTCCCCCTCCTGTCGGCCCAACTACCATTGTAGTGTGGCGCGTTTTCATTGTTTCGTACAGCTGTACCACCTTGTCTGCCTGTGCCTCGTTGGGTGTATAGCCCTGGTTGGATAAACAGTATTCTACAGCGTCATTGAAATCCGGGTAGCGGACCCGCGGACAGTCCAAGCCAGGGAATAGATCTTGAATCAATGCCAAAAATAGCAGTACGTCTTCGAAAACAAATTTCGGCAGATTCATGTCTCTCAACGCTCGCATGATTACTGTGTCCTCTGATAATTCAGGAGAGTTCCTTCGAAGATCACCAGCCATGACAAGCACGGCTTTCAATGCTCGTAAACCAAAATCATAATGATACTGTTTCGACAACTGCTCGCGTGCAAGTTTGTACAGTGTTGTCATTTTCTTTGCCAGTAACTTTGCACACAAAAAACCTTGGGAAAACAACATGATTTCACAAATCTGTTGCATATCTGGTACAATCACAACAACCGGTCGAAACAGAGCTTTCACCGATTCGGGCAGTTCCGTTCGACCAGCATAACCAGGATTCATCGTGATAAACACTCCCACACGTCTGATCAGGGATATTTCTGCTCCCTCGAATAAAAGCCGTTTTGCATTGTTGATCAGAGCGGTTTGAATAACTTTCAGCTGCGTCGAAATGACTGACAAAACAGAAGCCTCAATTCTATTAAATTCATCGAAGCAACCCCATGCACCACATTGGCACAGACCTGAGAGCAATTTACCCACCGCTTTGTAATCCATGCCTTCACCACAATTAGTAACGACGCATAAAAGACCCAAGGCTTTAGCCAAGTCTTTTGTGGTTTCCGTTTTTCCCGTTCCTGCTGGTCCTGCAGGTGCACCTCCCAAAAACATTGACAGGGCTTGTGTTAAAGTCAGATAAATCCGATCTGTGAGTGGGGTGATAACAAGTCGTCCGTTGAGACCCATGTACTCGTAACCATACTGGAATTCACCAGTACACTGACGAATAACCAGTTCATCTAAAGGCTTGTTCCAGTAGAAACGTAGTTGGGATTCCCAGGCGAATTCCTGCACATCCGTAACGTTATCTCGAACGAAATCAGACACTATGTCACGGGCGTGGACGTCAATGGTCAGTACTGTAGTCAACTTATCACGGTCATTTTTAGAAAGTGGACTTCGAACCCGTAAAACCAAGTCATTGAGCTGCTGTTGCAACATTTGTGAGTAATCTTTCATTGCATTTTTCCTTCCTTGAGCCATTTTGCGATAAACGTCTTCTATTTCCCATGTCCACCAGATTTGATTGGTTGCCAGTATCACCATCCCTTGATACTTGAACATCCAGTCAACCCTGCGTGTGTGGTTGAAAGTTGCAGAATGAGGCTAAGCAATTTGAGAAAAGCTAACTAAAAGCGAGTATTCTACAACAATGAATTGCAAATAAGCGTTGTCGGAGTAAACTTTTGGTGGCCATAACTAGTAGAGTTCCATTCCCCGAAGTGAATGAGATATGAATGTAATAGGTAAAATGGTTGACAAAATTCTTCCTACCTACACCCGATTTCTATACAGAGTAAGTTCAACAACAACATTGCAGTGTTAGAATGTAAAAAATGTAATTCAAGTCACCACGAAGTAGGACAAATTCCATGGATGAAGATCCGTCATTAGTGAAAAGATTGCGATCCCTTTAGGTAGCCATTGAAGAGAAATTTTTGGTGCAAATCACAGGTTCCAGGAATACTAGGAACAAAAAGATAAAAAGTAGTAATTACTCAGCTGTGCACTGTTCCGATGCATAGCTAACTTTGGACTCAAAGAAAGTGCAACGACCAAGTTACGACTAGGCTGCATAAGCTCGGGCAATGACCATCAAAAATCCCCGTTTGGGTCCCACTGTAAATCCTCCAATCAGCAGCTTCGAAGCTTAACTGCTGATCCACTTGGGCTCGAAATCTGTTACTGGTTTTATTATGAACGCCTCCGAATCATTTGGCTCACCTGGACACATTTGCCCGATAGTAGAATACTGCTTCTTTTGTTATCAGACGATTGGTTCTGCGCATCTCCGCTTCAACCAGCTTCATCCAGTTCTCAACACTACCGACAGTCACCTGTGGTTCGCGGAATTCCAGGACTTCGCCCTCGGTGGACACCATTGCAGTGACTTCGGTCTTTGCATTTCTAGGCTTGCTGAAACGCAGCGAACCAATGTTGTCGAACATCTTGGATGAAGAACGAAAAATGTGGACAATTTCGACTGTAAGTTGAAAGTTTAGTAACCCACCACGTACAGAAACTTGAAATAAGGTCGATATAGGAGAAAGTAACGCTTAGACAGAGAAGAACGGCGAGGCGTATTATTAAGGTCAGATTTATGTAAATATGTGTATTTACTAGGTACATCAAACGGCACACGAGGTAGTTGTGTATTGATAAGACGGAGGCTTGTTACCGTAGGGTGACAGGCCCCATTTGTCTACGGAATAGGGGATTATAATTGATGGTATGTCATCAACACTAAAAACTAGATCCATATTCGGCATGGGCAACACAGTTTCCCTGATGGATTTTGCGTTGTCAGACATGCGGTGTCCTATCAGTGGACCAATACACGGCTGTCAACGTGACTAGCATCACACAGTAGATCCCACAAAGAGCGAATCCTTCTTAACAGAAAATGAAATTTTCAATTGCAAATCTTATTGTAGAATAGTCATGGATTCACTCTAGGAATGCACAGCCTCTGGTGGAGAACAGACTGACTACTAACGTCGTGTGTAGAAAGTTGGTCTCATAAAAATTGGAGGTGTGATCTGCAGAGCTAACATCCTGAATGCGGACCAACCCAAAAAGAACCTGACTTGTAAGTGTGCGGTCATAAAGCTTCAAAAATCTCTGGTCAAACCACCCAGGTCAAACCCATCCATAAAAGTAAACCTCCCTCAAAGTGCAAAGCTTAAAACAAGTGGGGTTGGCTGGGCAGATGTTTTAAGTATGATTGTATTATCCTTCTTTTTCTTGATATGTATTTACTTCCAGGCAGTGAGTTATCCACGTTCATGAGAACCTTCCGAGACATTGATCCGGTTCTTCGCATTTTGCCCCTTAAAATCAGGCAGGGCTGAAGAATTTTCGTGGTAGTCTGGGTTATATGGGTTTCAGAACAGTAAAACATCACAACTCACTCACGCAGCAGCTATAGTTGGGCACAATACGGTGACCGAAGTAGTGGGATTGTTCATCTTTATAATTGTGTTGATGAAGTTGCCAAAAGTATGCAGATTTAATGTTATTAGACATCACGAAAGTTCAAGCTTTTACGTTTAGTTTCAAAATGGTCCTGCGTGTTTATGGTATTGATTCCAAGAAGAAAGCGTACACCACTGAACAGCTTTCATAAGAATTACACAGAATGACAAGTGCCATCTCTAAATTACAACTGACCCACCCTAACCTAAACAAGAAGGTTGTAGGAGTTACATTTAATGTAACGATGAATAGTGAATACAAAATACCACAAAATAGTTTTTAGAAGGATACCTTGATCATGTGTTCTTGGACACATTCACATTCACCTGAACCTAGTATGCTGAGCAATTCGTCATCCGAAATGAAGAAAAAGCGAGGAAATGCATTTCGTTTGGAATCCAGATAGTTGTTTAGCGACTTCTGGCTGCGCTCCAAACCCTCATTCAATAATTCCAAATCGTGCAGACGATTAGGCAATAGGCAGCAGGTTTGTACACACGGTGACTGAGCTGCTTCATGCATCATCTTGTTTGAAAAATGGAATGGATTAGTTGATAACAGTTGAAAAAAGAAGGCTGTTAAGCTGTGACTTATTTGCTACTAGTGGAGGATAGCATCTGATGTTATACTACCAATTTGACTGTCTATGTTATTTAGGACGTCTTCTAAAAGTGCCTTCCGATGTCTTCATCTCATCTCGTTTTGGGAGGATTGTTGATAGCAAAAAGAACACTAAAAACGGAGCTGTTTAACGCTCTCTGGCGCACCTGAACGCCATGATAAAAGTCAAAATAAAATGAAGTAAATGTCTCAATATTTCTACCAGTGATGGCTTTTGCCTTCGGTCTAATCCAGCTGGAATTGCTTGTGAATTCCAGTCTTCCAGAAGCCTCAGCTAGACACAACGTAGACTGGAATGAGGAGACACACGTGAAAGTGTTCAAAATCCAGTTTATTCCAGGATGTGGTTTGCGTGCAAGAAATGAAGCGAATATATTGATCATAAGCTGTAGTGAACTAGCAGCGAGATCAAAACTCATTTCCATCCTAAATGGTTGATACTCACATGACAAACCTTATTATGCTCCATTTAATTGCACTGCTCAGCAACACTGCCAAAAGAAAACCGAGGGATAAGTCCTCATGGAAGATTGATGACAGCTGGTTACTCAATTTGGTGTCGTGTGCCGCTGCCGATCAAGGTAAGCAGTGTCACAGAATTCCATCAGAGGTTTTGCAGGTCACAAGTTAAAACCACGAGTATCGTATCGAAGTTGTGGAAAACGAGGCGTTTTCTACAAAAAAGTAACAACTTTAGACTGGGACGAGCTTTTTGCTCTTGAGGACTGACAAGTAAGTAGATTTGAAGCCCATAAAAACCGTACTCCCTGAAACTCATGCGAATGACGACAACACTGATGGCGTTGTGACGAGTCAGTGCTCCTAGCCACACATGCTTACTCAAAACTTTGCTTAGGAAGACAAATAAAAACAGAGCTTTCGGACAAACCTTTTTGAACAGCCTGTCGATTGCATCAAATTTTGATGCCTCTTCTGGCAACTGTGTTCGAATATCTCCACCGATGAAAATGCTTTCTAAGTAAACCCATTTCCTCTGAACTATGATCCATAATTCCAGAACCTCACTAACCAAAGCAAGGTTCTTTTCCAACATTTGCACAGTCGATAAGAACGGGCCAATAAAGCGACTGGATGCCATCGATTGCAAATTCATTGTGTTGTCATCCAGAATTTGTAATATGTCGTCCACAGAACCCAATAAGTGACCGCGCTTCTTACCACCCTTTTCATAGGTGGTTATGGTGAACTGTAAATTTCGCCACGTCTCTTCCACCTCCCGAACGCCCTGGTTGCAAAGAAAACAAGTTTTAGTGGTGCAAGAAAAGAAGAAAAAATAATCAGAAAACTACATTCTCAATTATATGGAATACTTTTGCAGAATACTGGTTAAACCGACGTATCATCCCACCTTTTCGACTGAAAGTTCTTTAGTCGCTACAGCCACAATTTCAGAAATGTGGTCCTTGTAGCGGTAGAGATCCAGGTTAAAGATACTTGCCAGCGTAAACGTTTCTGGATTGATATCAAACGACTGTCCCGTCTTGCGCATAAGTTCATTCCAGTGCCTGATTGTCAAGAAAGTGTACTGTAAGATGGATCACCTAGTGACGGATTGTTCAAAATAATCAAGAATAAACGGGACCCTAATGAAAAATCGATTTCGAAAAAATATACTGAGCTGAGATGCACTTTAAAAAATTGTGTCAGTATATTTCGTTTCAGGAGCAAACTTCTGGATACTAATTAATTTTGGTCAGTTCGTTGTCAGCGTTGTTCATAGTGGAGGGACGTTTTCACTATATGTTCCCTGCATCAAACCTGAATTAGAGATATGTGCTGTCGAAAGGGAGGACTGCTAAATCTGCTTTTTGCTAATTTGAAATTCACAAACGTGTTCACTGATGAAAACCACCCGACGTGTTTTGATGTGTAGCGTATAAATAATCAGCTAAGACACCATATTTTGTTTTAGCTGTGTTCATCTGGTGCACTGGGTACCGATAAGCAAAATGTAAAATTTCGTCACCACTGAGGAAAACTTATGAGTGAAAGTGGGAGTGATTGACGATGGAAAATCTTTATTGGCCGAAGCTTAGGACTTGGTAGTTACAAATTTTCCCGTTTCGTGATATGACTAGACTAACCTTTCTCGAAGCGCCTCATGTTTCAGATCTAGAAACAGCGGCAAAGAGTCACGAAACACACGCATATTTTCGTACACCGCACGACCCGCTGGGTGCGTCCGAACAGTTTTTGGCAACTGTCGCCACATCTTGAGAAAATTTTCAATACCCTGCTGCAAACTTTGAACATTCAAGTCCTTCCATAACGTCTGTGCCCACTCGTCACGTGCAGCCTGAAATCAATCATTAGTTCGAAATACGGTTATGGTGAAATTGTTTACCTTTTGTTCCTCGTACAGAGTGAACAGCCGTGCAAGTTCGTGAAGTTCCATCTGCAGATGAAGGAGTTGTGGGTAGGGAGTAATAGGCAAGTCAAACAGTTTCTCTGCAGCAGCTAACTCCTGTCGGCGAGCTTCAAGTACGCTAAGTTCCTCACCAAATTTCTGCAGTAAGAAAGGTGAAAAAAGACATGCGTTCTTGATGAGGTTTTGAAATCTTAGCCATATAATAACCGCAGTGAAAAGCCAAAATCGTAATGCAGGTTAATGAATGATAATACAAACATAAATGTGAGCATAAGCAGTATTCAACAAGCGCATGAAATCACTCAGGGCAAAGGCCTTTTAACCTGTAGACGTTGATTCTCAATTACCTGCAAGGTGATCAATCCCATACTTAGATTGTCAGCCATTGTTCCTGGCCCGTGTTGCTCAAAACGCTCAATGAGCGTATTCACCATGTTTCCGAAATCGCTGATATTTTTCTTTGCTTCTCTGGCAAACTCTCGTCTCACTTTGCGCAGATCTAACTCTTTTTTAGTGGCCATTTCTTTCAATTGGTTCCAGGATATCACAACTTCATCGACAGCCTTTTTATTCTTTTCAGTTAGTGGAAATTTGTGAATTTGCAGTAAACGATAACATTCGCTCAAGTCGTTGAGACGAAAGTCGACATCCATAGCGGACAGCCGAATATCGTACAGTGTTTGAAGAATGTACTTCAGTTCTTCTGGGGTCACTGGATCCATATCCATTTCGGCAAAACGATGCTGTCGAGGAAAATTGAAAGTATTTGTGAGTAGTCGCGTTGAAAAATATCTTCACATACGTGACGTCATAAAGAAAAGACAACCAGGCCCCAGAGTAGAAAATCAATATTCGTTATCACCACCAAAAGAGAATATGACGGTACAATTGATAGTATCACGTAGTGTAAATTGTATTTTCAATTATCAGGGCCGTAGATGGTTAGTAGTAAGAATAATAACTCTTACAACTCCAGTATAAACCCAGCTTACTGTGTTTGTTGCATTACTCGCTATAAACGGCCGCTATCCCGGTTGACTTGGTCAACTTCCTTTAACTAATCGTGCAGGTGCTTTATCTGTATCAAGCTAATTTTCGGTAATCATCCAATGGATTTATCATGTATGAGGACAATTTAATTGAGCCAGTTCCTGCAGCTAACAGCAGTCAAAGCGTAGCGACCTGTTCAAATGATGGGAGTAGCACAGTAAAGAAAATCCATGAAAAATGATCTACACAGATTTTTAGTTTCCGATGCAAATCTTTGTCGAACATGCTGGTGAGTTTTTATAAAAAAGACTACAGGAGAATAGTTGAATTATTTTAGGTGAAAAGTAATTGATCACCCCACATGGCCTCAACCACTTTCGTCACTAAAATGTAATTCCTGTCTATGCGTGCTGGAGGGCGATTGTGTTGAAAAGATGGTCAATTTTTCCATCCACTGACACGTCTGACGATTCACCATTGAGAGGAACGACCTTCTGTGGATGAAGGTTTCGAAATTCTATGCATTTTTGTATATTGCTTCTTTGCGCTTACCGATTTAGTGTTGCTGTATAAATGGTTTTGGCTGGGCTCTCAAGTTTTAACCGACTGTTTAGCTCCAAAATGAAATAAATTCCCTAACGAAGGAACTTTTAACTAAGAAACACAATGCACTTCAGGATGTTTCCGGATTTCCAATAAACTTATCAGTAAATGTCCTCGAATATTTGTTGGAACACCATTTTATTGGGTAGAAGACGTAAAGAAATCCTGAGACTGGGGTAAGTACACTCATAGTTGACTGGGTTTTTTAGAGGTGAATATCTTATGCGAGACTTACCCTTGTTATTTAGCTTCAACTGCGAACTTGTAAGTAAATCAGATTGGGTTGCTAACTCGCTGCTTCAGTGGCGTATCTTGACAACGAATTGTATAGACTTATGATCAGAGAGACAGCCATATTAGGGTTTGTTGAACTGGTCGAGCATCAGCTAGAGCGTAATATTATACTCGAGGTTTTTGTGCTTTTTTGCATTTTCAGGATAACGGAGGAGGTTTGTCATTAGAAGACGTAAAGAAATCCTGAGACTGGGGTAAGTACACTCATAGTTGACTGGGTTTTTTAGAGGTGAATATCTTATGCGAGACTTACCCTTGTTATTTAGCTTCAACTGCGAACTTGTAAGTAAATCAGATTGGGTTGCTAACTCGCTGCTTCAGTGGCGTATCTTGACAACGAATTGTATAGACTTATGATCAGAGAGACAGCCATATTAGGGTTTGTTGAACTGGTCGAGCATCAGCTAGAGCGTAATATTATACTCGAGGTTTTTGTGCTTTTTTGCATTTTCAGGATGACGTACGAGGTTTTGTCATTAGGGTTTTTCTATGGTAAAACTGTAACAAATGTGGGGTCATTTTTACTGCAGATTTCAGTCCAATATTGCTTTCCTTCAACTCATCAACAATCACTTTGAAAGCTCACTTCAGAATGTCAGTTTTGTGCTCTCTTGGACGAAAAATTCATGCTACAGAATTTCTGCTGCCACATTTGGCTGAATTTGAAAACTAACTGAAACACAAGTTGAAATAATTGCATTACTCCGCAAAGAAACTCGCTGGGTTATCGCTTTGTTTTCGATCTTTTAACCATTGATTACTAAATAGGGATAACAAAAATAAATTTAAAGATTTTCAGATTTGGTCCTTACCCGCACTCAGCCACTAGTTGTTGTATTGTGTCACTATCAGACCAAAACTAAGGGCCGAAATGCAGTGAATGAGACTTCGGTCGATTGTCTGAATGCTACTTCCGTTCGGTCCAATCATTGGCCCTTGGGTGTTGCTGTGGTGTAAACTGGCTGAACCGGCCACACCTTGTTCTCCGGCTAACTATTGCCCACGAGGTATGCTAGTACTAGCTATGACAACACTTTTGGCGTTCAGTTCGAAAAAAACTGTAGTGTTTGCCGTCATTACGGCGTGATCGAACAAAGATTAACTCATACCGCGTTCTATCTGTGGCATAAAACTATGTCGCCCTCGCTTGGTTCCTTAGCGCATAGTGTTATGGACGGAGAAGTCGACCTTGCCAAATCAAAGAAAGGCAAGGCGAATCAAGAATAAATTGGAGGTTCTGATAAGTTGGCCAAGGTGAATTCTGCGACATATTTGGAGCCGTTTCAGTGTGTTACAAGAGCCAGCTGTCTTGTAGTAAGGTTAACAGTTGCGGGCAGACTAATGTAGACTAAATGACCGGGACAGTCCTCCAATATTCTTCATATCATAGTCAAGAAGGTGTTGGTAGCATCGATTGTAAAGTAAACTGTGTGCACAAGCGTAGAACTATTTAACACGTGGCACCAGGCCAGTTGTGAAAGATCAGTGAGGTCCAAGGAGACTGGTAGGCCATAGCCGGTTCACAAACGAATAAGGTTATGGACCATGCGTCCATTTCATGGTCAAGTTCACAGATCGGCCTGTGGGCTGCGCCCAGCAGTTCTTTGGTATTCTAGCTTTTTCGTTAATTCGGGTTAACGTTTTGACAAACTTGATGTTCTACATGTATCTGCACCTCATAATAGTGGGAAAGTTAGACGTCGATAGATCATCCACTTAGTGAATGTAAGTACGGCGTTTTTCTGATAAGTCTTTGCAAATAAGTGGAAAACAGCTCGATAAATTTGTCATGTTGTTATGAGTACTGGTTAATTCCTAAAACTACCACAAAATCTGTCCTCCAAGAGCTTATAACTTTGTGCCAAAAGATATATGACAATAAATGTCTCACTAATATTTTCGGTTTCCAACTGAGATTAAATCGGTTGAGCTATCAGAAGCTGTTGTGTACTGCAAATCGGAGTGGAACTTCTATGTCGGTCCTTGGCCTCCTACTCCGCCCACTTTGATATATCAAAAGGTACAGTAGCTTGAGACAGTACTTACAGCTATATTTATAGGTTCATCGTAGAATGTTCCACATGGTCGTGGGGGGGGGGCGAAAAGCTCCGAGCTATAAATGTTTCACTGACATTTCAGCCAATCAATGCATATCTTTGTTTCATCCATAGCTCGCACGTGACCATCCATCCAATCGACGTAATGTATTAGGAGCGACCGGCCACCAGACAGAATCAGAAATTGGTGTTTCTGCTTCTGATAAGGGAGAAACTCGCACATTCAGTACTCCTTCTATCCCCGTAACATCCCTTCATATAATGCCAGAATACGTTCACGTCTAGTACTTATGGGATACGAGCAATTCTTGTACTGTTAACGTATTCTCTCTTAGTCAAAGCCACCCCTCCCTAATACGACCAAGTTCATCCACCTCTAATCTCTGCATGGTGTAGGAGCTGCGTAGCATTGGAAATTCAGAATTGTAATGTTTCTTATTTGCTACAAGTTATACACTGTAGATGCACTGTTGTTCTTCGGTTACTTTTGGTTTGACTCCCCGCAGATGGCTGAACTCGAAGAAGCGATGCAGCTCTATTATCTGGGGTCCCATAAAAACCTCGGAAACTAACCTTGAACTCTTCTTGCAATCCAACGAGTAGTTCCTGCCCAACAAGATGTAACTGTTTGGCATAAGCTTGTGTCCATTTTTGCATGTGCTCCTTGATGTTGTGAATAAGCTGCCTGACACGAATTTGAATACAACCAAGTTGACGTTCGTAAGGCATATCGCACAAATCGGACAATTTGTTTTCCGTCTCAAGAATTTTCTCGTGTATCTCAATGATACTTCTTCGTTTGCACATCCACCGTTCAACTTGGGCTAACTGAATATAGGTCAGAACAAAAAGTGCTGAAATTGATCTAATAGGGTTAAAATTTGGGCTACCATCATACTTAAAAGAGAATCACATGGCCTTATTTAAAGTTCGATAGCTAATCTAGGGAAGCGCATCAGTACGGGAATTCCTAAATCACCGCACAGTACTTGCTTGTAAGAGGATTTTTAAAAACCCGATCTTCCGTTGTTAGAAATCACCGTAAGAGTACAACCGGGAAGAACCAATTCTAACCCAAAATCACGGCCAATCTTGTACAGTACAATGTCTGTGTAGCCATGTCTGCATAAACCAGGTTTATCTGTCTTCAGTTCTGCTTTGACCAGTTGTGTGATATGTTTAGCGTAAGTGTGGTGATAGGTTGAGTCTAGACGTAGGATCCTAGAAGTCTCTATTTCGTGATGTTCTTTTTCTTACATTAACTGGTAAACCCTACCCAACCGACATCTAACTAGAGAATAAAGTATGGAACAAAATTTCTGGAACATCTAGGATTACGCTAACCTGATAAACCGCACAAGAGGAGGACTGCTAGCTAGTGGTCAAATAAATTTCCATGAGCCTCATAAATAGTGGGGAGGGGGTAAATTGTCGGGCGTAATTAATATTGACCATTTTCCAGCGAACGAACAAACAGGTAACTTTTAATAGAATTAACCTTGTTTGGGGTGAATTTGCTCTTGTGTTTCCTCCAGCTGTCTTGATAACGTTTGACCTTGTCAACTGTGGTGGCGTAAACCTTGGCGATTTGGTTCACCAGATCTGTTATGTCGTTCGATTTGCTGAGATCCTGGTAGAAGGTGAACTGGTACAACTGATCACTGCTGTCAATTTTCAAGCCTGGTGAAATAATGCATGTTCCACGGCACCAGCGAACAAAAACGCGCGTAGCTTCCATTGCATCCCTCAGTTCCTGAAATTTCAGAGGTTTTAGAAGTTGTAACTTGTTGGTTTTAATGATAAAGGCCTTCAGGTAGAAAAAATATGTGTGATACTGTGATAAATTTGGAAGGACTGAGTTTCTTATCTCTTGAAGAAGTGATATTTCTACGAGAGAGGTAAGGGACTGGATGATGCAAAATGATATTAAAAACTATCCCGAAGAGTGATTTTGTTCTGGATAGATCAGTATAGAGTACTCGATTGCATCTTTCCACCAAGGTCTTCAATTAAACAATCATTTTTGTGTTATGAAATGAATAATCGTTTTAGTCTATTACTAAATGGTTTTCAGGGCTCTTTCACGAAGGCTATTTTTAGTGCTCAAAAGGTCAGACAGTGGTGTTTGGTAATTTTAACTGCAAATTCGCTAGTATTTTTCCAAGAGCTAACTAAAATTTGTCAAATTCTGGAAAAAGAGCTTTGAAAACGGAGCACGGTTTAAGCCGGAGTAATCCACAGGGTTATGAAATTTAATGGAACAGAAAGCTCATCTGAACAATGCTTGTCTTTCCATAAACATTAATACGGAATATCCCTTAAAATGTCCAGAATACCGTCAATCCACTCTTAAATGAACACATACTTGACTGAAAGTAGATCAGGCGGCTCTTGATCATTTCATAATCGTGAATCTTGGCAACTGGATCACGAACGCTTCACCACTATTCGCGGAAACACCGCCGCAAGTAGTCTAGTTGATTTGTAATAAGGATTGATGGCTAACTAGCCAAGATTTGGTCGGCAGAATTGTGATAGAAGTGACACAACTGTTCTGAAGTATATTTTTTCAGAATGGGTAATATAATCAAATTTAGCTCATTTGTTGAGATTTACTGTTCCAAGGACTGCAATTAAGTATCGTCCAAACCATTAAGTGTAAGTGCTAGACATCAGACCATGTTATGAGTGTTCAGAGGTTCCCAGATTCATCCATTCGGATGGATGAAATTACTCCTTGATTTACTATAAATGCAGATTGATCAATAGAGCGTATTTGACCAGATTAGTAGTCCTGTATCTGAGTAAATGCAAGGATCACTTTCCAATGAAAGTTTTCACAGAGCAATCAATGAGAAACAAAGCTCAGCAGCAGTATAGCAACTCACTTGTATCACCAGTCTGTATAAATCTGCTGGTGGAGGATTGCCCACAACATCAGCGCCTGCTAGCATCATGTCAAGAGCGAAGAGAGGCTCTGAGTTGTCTTGAATTCTTTGTAAGTACTGAGTAAATCCGTTTACTGTCACCTGGGAAGGGGTGAGATAGCGTTGCACGTTACTTATTCGAACATTATTCGAAAGTACACCTCTTCTTTCATAGGTTAGTTAAATTGTTAATTTTTATTCCTTGAAAGCTGTTCAGATACTTCGAGAAAAGTCGCTTTCTTCCTCATGATTCTTCAAGGATAGAAAGTTACCTTGACATCACATATTCCGATTATTCAGGGCTTTTGGTTTACTTCGCTTGATGTTTTACCTTGCGTCTGCGTTGTGTAAAAACGTATGCTGTGGGAAGCTGCACACACTGAAGTCACAGTTATTTGGGGTGTTGTGTGGACATCAGGTTTTTAACCCTGTTTGTTGGTCAACCGATCCGTACCGGTTGATATGTGAGACACGAGTCTGAGGGATTAGGCTAGAATTCATTTACATCACAACAGCTTGAGAGTGGATCCGTCCCCACGTTGGCTGTAGTGACGTAATATTTTACAAATGTACGGGAGCGTTCATCATATTTGGCGAGATTTGGTCATCTCCAATATAGAATTTCTCCAGTCAGTGTAACCAAGCTACTCTGAAAAGCCTAGAAGCAGGGTACAGCTGTCTGACTTTTGTTGGGCATCATCAGTAGTGTGCATATCACCAAACTAAGTGTTTCGAAGCCACGGGATTCCGGTCATTGATTGAACGTTTAAATGTTTGGCCACAGGCGACTGATCAGCAATTTGATTCTCTTGCTCGAGGGGTGAGCGATGGTATGTCCTTTCTGAGCGACTGTTAGGAGAACTTCCGGTGCGTCGGTGAAATGTCAGGTGTCCAAAACCACGAGTACTCTCGGGATGGACTCTGGCCTCTGGGTGAACAGGTTGATTCTTCCAGTGGAAGAATTATCAACTGCAAACACTGACTGCAGCTGAATTCCGCAAACTCACAACCCACAACATATCGTGGAGATAGTGGGCAAATTGTTCTTGATGTTTGTAACGAAAAATTTTGAGAAGGCTGTTGCCAGTGCCTTTAGTGTTTCAATTAGCATAGAGCGCCTTCGCCTTCACTGTCTGTACTGCTGTAGTTGGGTCCCGGTTAGCGTTTGAAAACAGAAAAACACCAAAGCCATATCAAAAGCGAAAATTGCCCTGAGCATGAGGCGTATTCTAAACGGCCCGTAGTCTTGGAGAAATTAGGATAAACACACCAGAAAATCAATATCTTTCCATTTATGCTATGTTACTGCTACTAAAAGTGATAATAAGTTAGATGTTATGACCCCGTTGAATAGGGTAAACTCAGTAAGACAGATCACCTCAGTGAACATGCGTCAGAACAAAAGTAAGTAGCGAGAATTTGAACCACTTACTTCGTAAAGAGTATCGAATATTCGTCTCTCCCAATGTGCGTAGTAAGGTGCCATTATTGGATGTGACCCCGTACTGGTTTGTGTAATCACTCCTTCCAGTTTTTGCAATATTGGAGTAAGTGAATGGTGTTGTTCTGCTAACTCTGCAAACTGCTTTTGACGTTCCATTGCTGTGTAAGCAAAGTAGTCCTGTTTGTATACATGGAAAAACAAAAATCCTGACTTTAATCGATACATCTCAACTGAAATCTAGCTAGCCTTTGTGCAGTTTAACGGGAGCAGAATTTGGCTTATTTGCGAGTTTCTTGCCTACGTACAATCAGGACCCTGCTTTAGATTTGCTGAACAGTCAGGAACAGGCGTGAAAGAGCAGCAACGTGAAACGGCTATCAAGCAGAAGAGGCCTATGTGGTGCTACAATGCTAAATGAGTGCACGCGTGTGACGTTTCCAGCATAATGAGTACAGATTGGCAACCCGTGCTCAGTTTCTGTGCCTTCAGTAAATCAACGCCCAGCCGTGTCCTGTAGAATCATATAATAAACAGTCCTGTCTGTCATGAGGGGAAATGTTATACTTAACTATTGTCAAGAGAACGAAAATGCACTTCGGAGTGAATTATCGGTAGGAGGAAATGAATTTCTCGGCTACTTGAGCTATACATCGAGCAGTAGGCAAAGCTTTTGCACAGAAATGTATTGCAAATTGATGCACAGTTCAATAGGTACCAGAGACAGAGTACCAGTCAGTGATGTAATTTGTAGTATATTGTGGCTTACAGCCTTGTACGGAGCAACGTTCAGAAAATGAATTGAAAATTTTGGTTTACCAAGAAAATTTAGTGAAGTTTGCGAATAGGATGCGTCGTTCTCCGAAGTTTGCTCGAGTGAGTGTTTAGCCTATTTCTTTAAGGTGATGAACGCAATGTGGTCACAGAAGGCTGTTGGGGATATCAATATCCCCCAGAAAAC